AAGTGAGTTGCATTGATGTGTGTATCTGTACAATTTATATTTAAACTACTTTACTCTGGTGTGTTAGGGTAGTATTGGACATGCCCGGCATACTTTTAAATTCTGTTTTTAACATCTTCCACCATATTTTGTAAGGGATGTTAAGGTTTTCCACTTTTCAATAAGCGGAATTTATATAAAGAGAAGAGTAGTTCATCTCTTTGACTCTGCTAATCTGGCCATTCTTAAATGTTTCCTGTTTGTCCTCCTGTTGCCATTTAGTTTCTTCCATGCCAACATGATTAATATTGTGTGGTTATGTTTGTTTGAGAATGAGACCAGCAGATAAACCATTTTTCAGCAAAAGAAAACATTTTATGTCATGAAATGCAGAGTTGAAAACATAACAAACATCTATTTATCTAGATTAGATGTGTTACTAGTTTAAGCACACCACAGATATACTCTACAAAAAATAAAATTCAGGCAAGTCTTGATATTGTGCACAGAGGTATATACTGCATCATGGCTTCTGTCTTTCAGCTGTGAAAAGTATGCACATCACCCATGAAAAGTGAACACATGCATGTACTCAAAACTGTGTGTGACCAGTACTCCCAAGTTTCCTACAGGATAATATTAGTATCCTAAGGAAATGACAACCTGTTGAAAATCTCCCAGGAACACCATTCCAGCTACTATGGCTGCTGAGGCCGTTATACTAACATTTCCCACAAAGATACCATTGAGAGTATCGCCTCTAACGTTGCTATAGTGCATCTAACCACTGTAGTGCATCTAACCATCTAATCCCTGTCACGTCATAGTTATCCACAATTTCTTGAGGAGTAGTATTACTACCACGACCTGGGACCAACGTCTTCTTGAAGCCCAACCAACAATGCCCTCCCTGCCCAATTTTAGAAATCAGGAAGGACAAGGATTCAAGACACAGGTAGCTGATGGAAACTAACCTTCAACTACCTTACCCATGATCTCCGGTTACACCAACTGAAGCTCCTCCATCACCAGACACCTCACCAGAATCACCTGCTCCAAGGATGGAATCCAAATCCTGGTTTATGCAAGCAATTTTAACTTCTGAATTCCTCACAAACATGTCACAGCAAGCTTTGGATGAGTCTACTGATGTGTCCTCAGTAATCTACAGCTTAATCTGGACAATGATACTTCCTTCTCACAAGCCTTGGGTGGACGCCTCCATCTAAGACCTGTTAGAAGCAGACCCTGGGGGGAAACTTGAGCTACCAAGACAACACTAGTACAGGATCTCATACTGTCAGCCGCAACTTCAGGAGTTTATTAAACCCCTCATTGTCCAATGTTAATAACATCTGCCAACATCTGCCAGTGTGCTCTTCTGCATTCTACATGGAACCAGCAGGCTTGTCTCTGCAAAGCAACAAAGGGACACAAATATATCATAAATGGCAATTGCAAAAAGCCTGTGGGAGAACTTTTCTGCCTCTCAGGATACTCTGTAACCGGCCCTAATTAAACAAAGCAGCTTCAGTGGGAAACTCTAGTGTGCTGAATTACAGTTTATGAGGCAATTCAGTTATGGCTTGAAGTATGGCTTGAACTGTTTTATTGCAATTCATGTGTTAATTAGCTTGTCAATGCCAGGGTGTTTGTTATCACCATTGCTGTGATATAGTGCAAAATAGTGTTGACTATTTTGTTTTCAAGCTAGCCTTCACAGTTCTTTATACACATCATTTTCCTCTGACATGAGGGGTGCTCAAGGAATATGGGAGGTCTGTATCTTGAGCAAACTCACCTGGTCTTGCACCTTCATGGGTTAATGTACAGACAGGTTGAGCTACTTCTTTGAACCCACCCACTCCAACGAAGTTCTGTGAGGTAGTTTGAGTCAGCTGCCTTGTACATTTTTTCTGTTTTCCAACTGGTAATAGCTGCTTGGAGTTGCTAGGACAAGTGTCCCTAGTCTGGTGTGCATGGTGCCTGGGAAGGCATTAACTGGTGTCTTGGGACAGGTGTCCCAAACTCTCAGCTATCATTAAAGAAAAAAGGATTGAGTCCTTCTGAAAAGCAAGTTATTTCTGTGAAATGATAATGTAGTGGGATTGCCTTCTATACTTTTTATGGTACTGTTGCTATTAGACACTCTCTCTCTCCCTCTCTCTCTCTCTCTCTGTGTGTGTGTGTGTGTGTGTGTAAAATCTGCACAATGGGTACCAGGACAAAGCTGACTTCCCACTGTAAGCATAAGGTTGTCAGGGGTGACTGTCTCTCTAGTTTTGTGTTATGCCATCCCATAATAGCTATTTTGTTACAGACACTCTTATTTATCTATTTTAAAGCCCAAAAAATATTTTACTTTTAAAAACATTTTTCATACAAAAAAGCTACATAATAAACATTTTTCTGTTATACATTTGTATACCATGCTTGAAACAGAGTGGTCTGAGGACAGGAGACCCATGCAAAAAGGGGAAAGGAATGGAACCTGACTGTTCCTTCCTCCTCTGACATCTCTCTCCCAATGTGCATATATGCTTGCCAATTTAAGATGACACTTCAAGCATCTGATGAAGCAGACCATGAAAACCTATGCCACAATACATTTGTTAGCTTTTTAAGGTGCTACGAGATTTCTTCTTCTTTAACTGCTGCATGGACTTTATTGCTCTATGGATGTGCCCAACTATAACAATTTCTGTGTACCTGTACAAAGACATCATGTAATGTTTGCTTTTGGTGGGTAGCAAATAATATATACATCAGAGTTGTACTTATGAGTGCATCTCTTGCCTCCCCAATTCTCCTTAAATTGGCTTGGATAAGCCAACTTTTAAATTTTAAAAAATAAAATAGACTCAGGATGGTGCTTAGCTTATTCCAAACCAATTTAATCTGAGACTTTGGTACATGAAGCAGATTTCTCCCAATACTCTGATTCTCCAATCCCCCGCCACATAACACTACCTTTGTACAGATGACTGCCCCTTCCCACAATTACCCATGCACATTGGGACTGCTGGTCTGGCACAGAGAATAATGTTTCTCTCTTGTCAGCACCTAGCACCCTGGTTGCCGTGAATTCCTGACGGGAGCTGGAGGCAAATGCGTAAGTGGAACAGGTAGTGCTTACCTTGCATTTGAAGCAACTGTTCCAAGCCACCCTATTTCAAAATGCAATGCTTGGGACTATGTATTCTGGCATCATCTCTAGTGAGAATAGCATAGCAGTTCTAGGACAATAACTTGGTTAAGTGGTGTCTTGGGCAACTAGATAGTTTATTAGTATGGCGATCAGCACAATGGCTTCCTCTTCTCTTGAACAAATGAGTGACTGTGAGCATTTGGAGGAGCAGACTCGCAAGTTTTCCAAGTTCATAGCCAATTCCTTTTATCTTAGGCTGTGTACTTTTTCAGCCACCGCTTGTTGTTAACAACTGTTCTAGAAACTCCAGTTCATAAGATCAGCAGGGTGGTTAAGGCACAGTCTGTGTCTTCTCAGAAAGCACCTGGGAGGTCCGATCATTTTAAACTTCCACCATGCCCAAATCTCCTTGTGCATGTGCAAAGCTAGCAGCTCAAAGTGGAATCTGAAACTGGACATTCACTACACTGCAGACTAGACTTAGCAGTTCTGATGTTACTAATGAATATAAAACTATCCCCTAGAGGACACAGAAATATTTCCAGATACTGAGGACAAACAAACTATGCAATTAAATCCAGAGGGTTTGCAGCACAGAATCTCCAGTGAAACAGTGTCCCATATGTAATTTAAGGAACTAAATGGGCTTTTGGGATGTTTCTTTTCTATTCTCATGATACATTTGCATGCTTGCTGTATCAGTGATGCTGTAAAATTTGCCATTTTTAACCACCTAAAACCAATATGAACTGTTTCTCCTAACTCTTTTCTTTTTACCTCACCAGTATCTGAAACTCCTCTTTGAGCGAATTATTCTAATTTAGTTGCATCTGAAGTCTTGAAGGCATATTCCTTCATTGGAGTAGTGTTGCGCTGCGAAATTAGTTCCCATGCTGGGTTTTGAATCAAGTGGCTAACCTGTGACACACACCCCGGGTTATTTTTCGACACCAGCTCCCATCAGCCTCAGCCAGAAGTCTGGTCAGGAATGGTGGAAATTGTAGTAACAAGATCATCCTGAAGGGCCACCCCTTTTCCATAATCAGTCTTTTAGGCATGTACTAAAGTGGAAGGGCACCAGTAGTGCTTCTAAGCGCGGCAGGTGTGTAGCATTTCATCTACCCTAGGGAGATTCTGCTGCCCTCCAGATACAATTCTGGCCTGAGGTGATGGGAACTGTCGTCCACAGATTCTTCATCCTTAATGTCAATTAACAAGCTTGGGATGTTCTGTATTTGAACATATCTGTATGTTCTTCAGAGAAAGCACAAACTTTTCAGCTGTGTTTATATAGAACCTTTTGAGTACATCACACACCAGTAAACTTTTTAACATCCACGTTGGGTGAACCAGTGTGCTGTCAAATGGGGCCTGAGGTTTTATAAAGCTACCGAGTGTGGGTGGATTACTTAAGGCTGTCAAATGAATTTGTGGCTCAGATGAGACTTTTAACTAGAGGGCTTCTGGCTCCCATTGCCCTGCAAAGATGTCTGAAAGGACAGTATAGTGCTCTCAGTTTCAAAGCTTTATTTTTGTTGTCTGTGCTTAAAATAGAAGTGTTAATTTGATGTGTCGGTGGAGAACACACACTCTTTTCTAAAGCATCCTGCACAAGCTTGCTTCATCTGCAGCCTTTGATTTTCATAGAATCTGGGGTGCTGTCGCTCTTGTACTTTGAGGCGACAGACATAAAGAAGGAAGGTCATCTGATGAAAGTAGGAAGTGCAACCCATTAGCTTTGAACAAGTAACTTTGCTAATTGTTCTTACTAGTTTTACCACATGAAGTCCAAATGAGGTTGTTCTCATAACTTGCTCTTGTACTTAAATAATGTTGTCTTTGTGTCCCCCCCCCTCTTTTCTTTTCTGCTTAGGTTGCTTTGAATGTTGCATTAAGTGCCTGGGAGGAGTTCCATATGCTTCCCTTGTGGCAACTATTCTCTGCTTCTCTGGGGTAGCATTGTTCTGCGGCTGCGGTCATGTGGCTCTCGCCGGGACCGTATCGATCCTCGAACAGCGTTTTTCCACAAATGTTACTGACCATGCTTTGTTATCTGAAGTGTAAGTACAAAACCACTTTTCTTACTCTGCGAAGCAATTGCAATGATAACTTTAATAACATCAGAGCTAGGAGCGCATGCCAATTCAGCCAGCAAGGAGGCAAGAGTGGCTGGCAAAACTCAAAATTTGAAGTGAATTTGGAGAGTCCATCTCAAGCAAAACATCTTTTGGATTGGGGCTGTTTTTATATACAGCATATAGTTATGAAATTTGTTGGGTGGGTTGGGGAATCTGCGACACTTGCACCAGAAGTCTGCTGCTGTTAGGGATTCAGCATATATTCCCCCCCAAATATATATTCTAGTTCAACAGAGAGAAGGAAAACAAGAGGAGCGATAAATCTCCCAAAGAGCATAGTTATTCAGCTCCATAGCAACTGAAGGCAAGAAAAAATAGCTGTTGCCAGGAGATGACAGACCACTAAAAATATACTGGAGAGGTACACAGGAAAGCAATACTGCTAAATCTAAGGATAAAATAATGTTATCACTAACCACTGCAATTGAGGCAGTCGTGACATTTCTCTCACATGCCACATAACTCCATAGTAGATGCGTAATGGACTATGAATCTAATCTTCTGCCTCCCACTGAAATAGGCTATATTGGTTTGTGTCTGAAGCATGCTAGTTTTCCTCAACAGGATCTCCCATTGCTGAACTGTTCTTATGGTTAAATTTCCCCCTCAATTATTAACCTCTCATCTACATTACTTAAGCTTAAAGCATGTTGCCTCTTCTGTCCTGGGTGAACAGAGTTTGTCTTCCTTTTCACGTTCTAGATCTTTGAAAAAATTGTTAGTGGCCGTCATTTACTTCACTTCTATAGGACAGCGCTGCATAATTCCTTTGGCATTATGATTTATCTTCTGGATGTCTAGTGGATCAACTAAAATCCTTTTACTTGTGGTGCATAAAACTGAAACAAACAAATATGGTTTACATACCTCTAGAAGTGCAAATGAATGCACTTTTGCATAGTGCCTTAGATGCAGGGTATTCTGACATTTTGTATGTGGAACAGGAAACAAAACCTGCATTGCAGGGTGGTTGTGAGGATACCATGGGGTGCGGTGATGACCAGAAACCAAATTTAGCAGCAAAGGGGAACAATGCAAATTACTCACAAATTGTGGCTACATATTACTTTTAATGGAAAAGAATGGCTGAATCCGTTACAAAAGAGAAATAACTGCACGTTAATGGCACAAATGAATGGGTAGAGCTAGAAGCTGCATTATATTGAGTGATGTGGGCAATGTACCCTACTGCTACTATGAGGAATTTATATTGTGTGGATGCAGTGCACACACTGACAAGAGATGAAAGGGGAAAGCCCCTTCTTGTTGCTAGGTGGCATAGAGGTGTGTCGGTCTGGGTCTCCATCCTTGCAGCAGAGCTCATTTTGTCTATTTGAGTAGGAGTGGCACTCCTTTAAATGTTTTTCTTGCTGCTGAAAGAAAGAACAAAGCTTCCTTCCCAGCAGAAGCATGCTGTGGTTCCTTCTGGGATACAGTAAGGGAAGTTTGCAGTAAGAAATATTCTATAGTGACTGGTGAGGGTAGGGCTTGAGGCTATTTAATTATGTGTAAGCATCAGATGCTGCAGCATTTTTGAAGTTACTGGTGGTCAACTTTGGCTGTGTAATACAGGGGTCAGCAAACTTTTTCAGGAGGGGGCCAGTCCACTGTCCCTCAGACCTTGTGGGGGGCCGGATTATATTTTGGATGGGGGAAATGAACAAATTCCTGTGCCCCACAAATAACCCAGAGATGCATTTTAAATAAAAGCACACATTCTACTCATGTAAAAATACCAGGCAGGCCCCACAAATAACCCAGAGATGCATTTTAAATAAAAGCACACATTCTACTCATGTAAAAATACCAGGCAGGCCCCACAAATAACCCAGAGATGCATTTTAAATAAAAGCACACATTCTACTCATGTAAAAACACGCTGATTCCTGGACCTTCCGCAGGCCTGATTTAGGCAGCGATTGGGCCAGATCTGGCCCCCGGGCCTACCCATGGTGTTAATGGCTGTATAGAAGGGCAATAAATACTAGATGTTTTCATCCGAGGATTTGACTGACTAGTTCAGTTCGTGTGTGAAATTCAGCTTCTCCATCTGCTCCGGTTCCCTTTATTCTTGAATATGATGAGGTTAAAATCTACAACAGCTTAACCAGTTCCAGTTGACAAGTCAACATTAAAAGAAGAGCAACTAGATCAGAATCTAGACCAGCCTTGCTCAACCTGCTGCTCTCCATATGGTGAAGACACTAATTCCTTTCAGCCTCAACCACGAGCATGGTCCAAGGCCAAATCTTGCAACCTGATGGAAATTATGACCAACTACATTGGTTCTTTACACAGCTAGTAAATGGTCTCACTTGTGAACTTACCACTAAGGTGTTCATTCTGTCCTTGTGCTCTTGGATGATTATGAAATGAGATTTTATTTCAGAGTGACAAGAGTCTGATTGCCCTGTTTGTTTCCTTCTCAGAATAAAACTAATGCAGTATGTGATCTATGGCATTGCATCGTTTTTTTTCTTGTATGGAATTATCCTGTTGGCGGAGGGCTTTTATACAACAAGTGCTGTGAAGGAGCTGCATGGTGAATTCAAGACAACCATCTGTGGCCGCTGCATCAGTGGAATGGTGAGTCCATTGCAGGAATATGGATTGCCACTACTCCAGTGGTCCATAGCATTATCTACAGTGTTGTTTGCACCAGCTCTTTATGCTGGCCTTTGATAAGAAAGCAGTGTCCTTCTAGGCTTTCAGAAAGCCCTAGCTAGAGATGCTAGCAGTTGAACCTTAGTCATCCACATAAACAGCAGAGGCTATACATCTCCCTTTAATGGTCACAAGAGAATTAGGTATTAATTCTAGCTTGTTTTCTTATCCCAAGTGAATTTGCCTGCTTTTTCTCTCTCAAATAGTACTTTATTGGAGAGAGGTATGAGGAAAAAATAATTTGGACATAATCCTCTTTTTTACCAAGTTTATTCTTCCAAGAAATTACAACTTTTAAGTGGGCCACAGTTCTGTCAAAGTTTTCATTAACACCATTCATAAAAATGTCCAGATTATATATTGTGTGTTTTTGTCCAGTGTTGGGCTTTTGGCAGCCAGGTTGTGCTTTTTTGGGGGGTGGGGATTTCTCCCCCCTTAACTGAGAGCACTTCATTTTTAACTTTATAGATTCCCCCCCCCCCAAAAAAATGTAATTAAGTTGTCCCCATCTCTTGGTCCAATTTAGTTGGCTGAAGCATGACATTCTTTTCAGTTGGCTCACCCGAGACAACAGGCTGGCACTCCCTGTTGTTAGAAGCTATGCCCTCTTATCCTAATTGCGTACAGCAGGAATTGGGAGGTACCCACAGATACTGTAAGGAAGTCACAGTTCCCAGTAATGAAGTGCCACTCCAATGACAAAGAAAGCATCCCAGAATGACTACTGCTTGGAAAGTCAGGCTGCTTTTTATTTTGCTTACTTAAAACGTCAGGCTTTTAACATCGCAACACGGGCTATAGGGAACGTCTCTATGGAGTGAAAATCCGAGACTTCACATCAGACATGGAGACTGTGACATGCTCTTGGATTTTAAAATTCAGGAGTGTGTGTACTGTAAATGAGATTAACCCTTGATTTCCTAAATTAATGAGAAAGGGGTTTTCTGTGTGAAATGTGTGCCTGTCTCCTCAGTTTGTTTTCCTGACCTACGTACTGGGGGTGGCCTGGCTTGGCGTCTTTGGCTTCTCGGCTGTGCCGGTCTTCATGTTCTATAACATATGGTCAACTTGCGAAGTCATCAGATCACTCCCAGCAAATATGACAGCTTCAGCGGACCAGATCTGTGTGGATATCAGGCAATACGGTACTTATTTTAATCCTGATTAAATGCTTTATCCTCTTTCCTTGTCCTATCTTCAACAGGTTTGTCTTAGCCTTATGAGATGAACCAAAAAGCAACCAAGTGTGGAGTCTCTGAACATGTCATTACTTTTTCAATTAATGCAGATTACACTGACCTCTTTCCAGATGCACCCAGTTTAACTGCATTTGGCAAGTCATTTATCTAAAGTGATTTTGTGCCTGTTATCCGCATTATGCTATCAGGCTTAATAATAAAACAATCAGCAAAATAAACTGCTTAAGCAAGCCTGAGCCCATCACCAAATAGTTTGTAAACCTACCATGCTAGTCTCCTGAATTTAGCCATATATCTGCATATTCTTACTATTTCTGTAATAATGTGGATTGTGTATGTGCTTGTGCAAAGCAGTTTCATTTATCCTTTTGTTTTGAAATGGAAATACATTGTCAGAACAGTGTGAGGAAGGAACAGGGGTCTAGATTTGTGCTCCCAAGAATCACACATTATGGGACCAGATCTTTTTTACCTGATTAACATCACACACACTATGCAGTTGTTCCTATCATTGGTGCTTATTTAGTGACAAATACTGTTTAGCCCCAACCCTCCCCTGGGACTGGGATTATTTGTGTGGGATTAGGAGTGAGGGACATGATCACCTCCAAAAAGGAAGGGCAATAGAACACAGGGCAGTTGAACACATAATAGAAGTTGAGTCAATTTACTTCTAGAAGTTCCATCCAGATTCCAGGTATTTTAAGGTTCCTAACATACTTCCTCTGGCATTGGCTAAAGGAGGATACAAATCTTTCAGAAAGGCTGGTGGAAATGAGATGTGTGGGGAGGGCACAGTAGAGGCGAGCCTGGGAAATAATGGGTTTTTATCCACTGCTAGTCCTTCTCAGAGTAAACCCATTGAAGTTAATGGACACAACTCACTTTCATCCAACTTAGTTGGATACCAGCCAATAGAAGTACTTATAGAGATTCCAAGACAAAGTAGCTGTTCTCTAGTCCTGCTGCTTCTGTGCTGCTGCGAGCTGTGCCATGACTGTTGAGTTGGCATGTTGCCCAAACCTTGGCTCATAGTTTTTCTCACTCCACATGGCTTAGTGCTCCACACACTTCTCCATTGTTTTATAACTCTGATACACATACCTACTGCTGTATAGCTCCCCCCACCCCCCAAAAAGGTCAAAGATGAATATATTTGATGAATATCTTCTATAGTGCAATATGTTGAGGTACTTTGCTGTCGCATGCTATACTTCCACCAGGAAGAAAATGGCCTGAAGATCAGTAATGAAGAAAAGGAACAGAGGCTTTAATAAGGCAATGGAGGAAGAGAGTGGCTTGCAGAGATAATTCTGAATAGTTCCTCTGCAATTGAGCACAATTGCAATCTCAATCCACGAAGTTTAAGGCAGAGCCTGTAAAGATGCAAGCACCCTTTTCAGTAATCCCTTTGCCCATTCAATAGAGTCAGGAAGCACAGCATATGACAGTGATTAAAAAGAAGAAGAGTGTCCATAGTGACTAAAACAACCATTTGTCCGCCATATGGGAATCCTAGATCTGAGAACATCTCTTGGCAAGGAGAATCTCTCCTGGATGTAGAAAGAGAACACTGTTAAGTGATTTTGTACTTGCTGGTGCCAACTCCAGATTGAACTGGTCAATGTGTGGGTGCTTGTTAAAGGAACACAACTTGCGTGTAGGTGGGGAAGGGAAATGGATTTCAGAAGGGAGAATGACATCAGCTATCAGCTTTAACAATGGCTTTTTGATATTTTAACTTCAGGTATCATCCCTTGGAATGCTGTGCCTGGCAAGGCATGTGGGTCAGCATTAGCAGATATGTGCAGCACCCCTGAGGTAAACGAGACTACGACACCCGGTGCTTGTCTTGCATATCTTGACAACTGGAATATAAACAATTGGTCTGCTAAAACATTAATGCTCATGCCATTTATTTATTTTAAAAAAGGTTTCTTAATCATACAGAATGAATGATACAACATTCTGAGGATATAGGTCTGCACTACTTGTGAGGCTAAGTGGTTCTATGGATAGCCAGTTAAGAGATAACAGTATTTCTCCTCCCACCCCTTCAGTAGCTGGAATACATAGTGCTGAAAAATTATTTCATCAAGCCACATCAGTTTTGCATAAAACACATCAATATGGTAAACACTAGGATACAGCGTATAGATAAGTAATCAATGCTTAATTAATATGCCAGGCTTCCTTTGAATAAGGAACAACTGCAAAAATAGTGCCCTCAGAATAGGCTGTCTCCTATCTTTATTGCTAAGGCATCATGCTGACTGGGCTGTTGTGGTCCACAGCATCTCTCTCCTCCTGATCAGTTTGTCTAACTGCAACTGAGTTACAGTGACAGGCAGCTGCCAGTTATAAAAGCACCTATTCCAGGCAGGTTCGGCAGGTTTGCCTTATTATGCTGCCTTCCATGTCATTCCATGCATGTGGGAAACCAGGGCGTACACAGGTTTTTAAATGTGTGGAGCATCCCTCAGTTACGACTGTGGGCTAGAATAATGTTAATAGAGTGGTGCTGATGGAACTGCCATGGTGGTGGCCCTAGTCTCACTCAGAAAAATAATTTTGGATTTGTTCATTCTTTTCTCTTGGCTGGCATGGATAAAAATTGCCCTGAATAAGCTGCATATGAGGCGACCAGCATCCAGTTACTGAGGCTAACATTTTCCTCCAGTCACAATCAGAGAGATGAGTGCAAGTTTCCTGCATGCCGAATCTGATTCCCACTAGGCTTCTTCCATGGTATCATGGTCACACCTGTGTTCACAGGAACCTGGCCTTTAGGTACAACTGGCAGTGTTATGTTGCAGCAACACTGGCACAGACTCCTTGTCTGAATAGCTTGAAGTGCCATAGGTTTTGACCTTGGACTTGCAGAGTACTCACTACGTCCCCTCAAAAATATTTGTTGGTGCAGTGGCTCCTGGAATCGGACCTTCCTCCACACTAGGCAGCCTCCCGAGAGTTATATTTGTTAATGTGCCATGGAGCTCCTAGGACAATGATTTTCCTCTTTACTGTTATAGTTCTATTTGTCTTACCACCTGTTCATTGTGGCGTGTGCTGGAGCTGGTGCTACTGTCATAGCCCTGGTGAGTACCATCATCCTCTCTCTCTCATAAAATAACCACGTATTCCCTTTTCAGATGTAATCTTTAAAATATTGTTTAACTTAAACTAAGTAATAATTTTTGTGTTTGTTGGCACCTGATTGTAGTTTTCTCAGGATATTCCAAATAGCAGGCAAGTGCTTACATTTCCCAGTAAAGCTTTGCACCAAAGCAAGCTTTAAAATAGTTCTTTTGGTTTTGTTGTTTTTTGCTATTCGTTTACCTCCATCCTGTTGCATGGCCAATTTATGGCATTTTTGGATATAGCTATTTTGCCATTAGTATGTAGAACTTCCCGGCATCAGGACACTTCAGAGGTTTCCTACCTTTGAAAATAGTTTTAATTAATACTCCTGTCTTTCCTTCCTTTAAGTCTTTTGGGGAGTATGAAAGGTACCTGAATGTACTGAAGCTAGTTAGTCTGATTAAAAACAAGACCCATTTATAGTCAATGAACTGTTGCAGCAACCTGCTTTCAATCATCTGTTGCCAAATTCATTTAAAGTCATAATTTATCAATGTACTTCCCATTGAAACAACCAGGGGCCCTTACATAGCTTAGGTAAAGCAGAGCTAGTCATTTTTGCCATAGCTCTCATTGAAATCCGTGCCTGACACAGTATAAATTTTCACAAAGAACTTCCTAAAAGGCCAGTAGAATTTGTTGTCTCTTATACGCTGTGTTTTGTTCTCTTCCACCAGCTGATCTACATGATGGCTACCACATATAACTATGCCGTTTTGAAGTTTAAGAGTCGGGAAGATTGCTGCACTAAATTCTAAATTGCATAAGCCCAGTAAAGAGCTGCACTGTGTAGCTTGAAAAACCACTGACACCCTAGACTAAAGAGTCTAGCTTTTTTGAAGTTTGTTACAGTAAATTGTAAATAGCTTAAGACTTCCTAAAGCATCTTTAAGCATTTTAGATTAATTCAAATTTATTTCTTGTATATGAATAATGATGTGGGTGAGAGCTGGCTATTTTCTATACTATGAGAAGATTGTTATTTTCAGTGATGTTGTAAATCATCCCTTTAAAGGAAGGAGGGCTTTCATTTAACATCAAGCTATATTTTTTTCTAACAATCATCTCTGAAATAATTACTGGATCAATTAAGGGCCTGTAATAAGTTATTTTGTCTCTGCTGTTCACTAATCTGAAAAATAATAAAGCATCTGTTCTACAAATAGATGACACACAAGATACAAGCTTGATTCTTGATAACTGTCAGTGACTACCTTTTAGATTGTTGTCAAAGTGCTCTTCTAAAGTACCACACATTTGCCTCTCATTTTTACTGTATAACACCAGCCCTTTGGGTTTTTACTGGTCAAATGTTTTGAGAGACAACTAATTAGGCTCATTGAAGAATACCCTTTTCATTAGCTGACATTTTCATTTCCCCCCCAAAAAATAAGAAACAAAAGCCATGCAGTTCTCTAGCAAAAGCATGGAAACAAGTTCATTCCACCCCACCCCTGGCCTATGAGAAATAGAAAAGATCAACTTTTGTGGCACAGGCTATGTGCTACTAACTTATTTGTCAGTGATCAGCTTCCAAAGTATAACCACGCAGCACGCAAAGCAAACCCTTTTATATAGAAAGCTGCATTTTAGAAAAAAACTATTTTTGCCCCAGTGAGTATGGTGGGACACAACTTTTCTAAGAGGATAACTATATAAAATTTCCACATTACAATTTTCCTTTACTCAAGAGGAAGGGGGAAGAAACAGGGAAAGGAAGAAACGATCACAGATTTATCTTGAGTTGCTCTTCTAGGCTTCAGCATGTAAACTTGCAATGTATTTTCAAAGCTTTTCCGTTTCTGTTGTTCTTTCGCATTAACTGCTTTTGTTCCTATTTCCTACTAACTTTTGCCAGTACCTACTTAGTAGAATTAAGCATGCAAAATTCTAGAGATCTTTAGAAATAAGCCTCTTTGCCTTTTTTAACATTTAATAATGTAGAATAACTTTTAAAAATTAATCTTACTAGCTGCCTGCTTTGCCTCTTGACATGCTCACTAGCCATCATGCTCACCCTTCTCTTCCAGATACACTTCCTCATGATACTGTCCTCTAACTGGGCCTACTTAAAGGATGCGAGCAAAATGCAGGCTTACCAGGATATCAAAGCAAAAGAAGAACAGGAGCTTCAGGATATCCAGTCTCGGTCCAAAGAGCAACTCAATTCTTACACATAAATGTTTGCCAGAAGAATTTTGTAGCTCTGACAAATCATCAAGCAGCTGCACTGCAGAACAGATGCATGTCCAAGCAAATGCAGAAGTATAAAAACTTCACATTCATGCTCCTGGGCCATGATCATAGGGAAAATTTGCAGTGGATATCCTCCATTCCTTTAGCACTGCGATTGGAGGGTTTTATGGGGGGGGGGGAGGGAGGGGAGAGAGGTTGTCTCTAGGCCACTTTAGAAAAACATGTTACCAAGTCAAGGATCTTTATGGATATCTCTTGGCAATTATAAAAGAATTATTGAAGGAACACGCTCCTTTCAAAACAGGCTACCACAGTTGGTATCCAGCCCTGCAATGACTAAAAGATTTTAAAGGCTGTATATAATTACACAGATGTAAGTAACTAAGATTCTAGTATGACTAGTTATTCCCTTTCTTCTGAATACTGATAGTTGTGCTTATTTGATACGGTTTCAGGAAGTTACAAATAATCTTATTCAGTCTCTGTCAAAATTAAAACTGGATTTTGTGGACTAAATGCCAGAAGTGTTATTTTCTGAGCCACTCCCTTTTTATTGATGCTGTAATGAGCCACTGTTGTTCTACTGCACTTACCAGAGTAAGCTGGGCACTGTTGCCCAGAGTTTGTTTTCTTTTAATTTTATACCATTTGATGGAATGTAGACAGACCTTTGGATCAGGATAATGATCCCCTTCTCAGAAAATAAATGTCAGCTTTGCCTTAATATTTATTTTCTATAAATGTCTGAAGCATTTATATAGCAGTGGGAGATCATTATCATGTATTTTATCAAAGCAGAAAGTGTTACCTTGTTGAAATTATACTGATATAATTGTTTCAAGTGAGCAGATAACAATTTGTAGAACATAAAAACCCATAGCCATACAGAGCACAGGTCAACCGCCCGTCTCAATTTTGGTGCTCAGCACGTTTATAGACAGTGCTTATTTGTTTTCTCTTTTAAGAAATTTGGTGTTCAGTAAAATATTGGGTGCCATTTTAAAAGTGTTTCCCACAAAATCTGCCTTCTAACATTTTCAGAAACATTCAGTGCTAGCTTGAGTACTAGTGATGGTATCTTTGGTGTGCTTTTTTTTAAATAAAAAATTATATAAATGTTGGAGAAACTTTAAGTACATCAGTGAGTTTTAAATCAGTAAAAAAGTCAAGTCATACATCCATGTTAATGTGTGGTTTGATTAGTTTTGAACGTTTGCTGAATATTAACATGCTCCTGTAGCTCATACAGAAGTGTATAAAGATAAAGGAAGCACATGTTTCTTTAGAAAGTTTTTAAAGGAAAAAAATATTAATGTGGAAAAAACTTCAGGTATTACCTTGCATTTGAATTTGTTACATGCCTAATCTGACTTTCTTTTTAAAGAGGCAAAATCTATATAGAGCAGATAAAAAATAGCTTAGTGTTTGTTTTTACCTGTTGCATGAAGGAAACAAATTTCTACAGCAATGCAGGTGATGTTCTTACTAGTCCAGTGTTTGCATAAAGGTAACGGACAGTGTCTTAAAGCCTAATTCTTTTCTAATTCTATGTAGCTATTTACTGGGAGTTTTTTGAAGTTTTGTTTAAGTAGTCTAATATTTTTTATGTAAAGAGCATTAAATTTTGCTATGTATAAATTTTTGTAACCTAACCGTGAATCAATATTTTCTATCAGTGCCAAGGGCTTCCTGTAGTTATATCCAAGTGTTACAATAAATATTTGTAGATAATAGAACCAATATTTGTGTATGCTTATTTTAAGAAGGTTTTGAAACAGTTGTAGCAGTATAGACAGCCATCCCAAAGCTAGTGTTTGGGTGACACATAATTGGAAGTTTTAGCATCTACTGAAAAATATGGCAACCAATGGACATAGGAAGATAGATCTTTCCCTGCATCTTATCAAGATGTGATATCCTTCAGTGCTAGGGTGCCTCTGGACTGGGTCTGACTTTCAAAAAGTGTGCACATTATTTGGCATATGGATTTGCCACTATTAGTTTACCTTTGGGGCAAAAAACAACAATAGTGTATTTCACAGTTCAGGTTTGATACAGTTTGACATAAACATAAATTTGTTAGTTTCTAGCTCTTAAGAAATGAGAGCAGTCAAATTAGCAAACACAGATATGCAAAAGTGTTTTGAAAGATGCTCATCTGCAAGGGCCTGTTCTCAGTAATTGATTTTGAATCAGAGTACTATTTGCTCAAATTTGTCTTAGGAGAACTGCCTGAGGCATGCCTGGCGTCTCTCATAAGCTCACTGCAAAACTTTCCCATTTATAGTATGTTTCATTATTTTAATGCAGTGTGGTCAAACTACATGAAGCCAGGATATATTTCAACTTCCAAAATCTCTGGCATTTCAACAAATCAGGTGCCATCGATTCAGCTGTACCAGCATTTCCCACTAATTACAAAGCTTGTAAAGTGGGTTAATTCTTTCATCACTTTCCCAAGGAACTGTCCTCTAAAATGAGTTGATAATATTCAATTTTAGTGAGTTCAGACACAGTTGCCCCACTTTTTCAGGCCAGTTTCATAATTTAAACATCATAATAGTGTAAATCATCGTTTTCAATACCATGTACTTTTAATAGGAAGTAGTCCCAATTACAAGCACTTAATTTTTAAAGTGTGCTTGACTGAACTCTTGCTGATGCCCTTGTTTGTTTTTAAAGAGTAGCTAAAGGATGTGCAGCAGCAGGAAATTGTAGCGTCACTATTCAATAAAGTCAAAAGCTGCTTAAGCACATTACCCCAAAACTTAAATGTCTAAACACTGTTTTCATTCTAGAGCTCTGAGCTATGCTTATATAGACAGCTGGTCAATCATCTGTAAAGTCTGTAATATAAACTCTGGAATAAAATATTTCAAATAGATTTAAACACAGAATTTTCTATGACTGACGCTTTATTTTTAAAAAAATATTCATTTGTATAACAAGGTAAATCAACCTGATTTGATTGTTTCCCCCACTGCCTTTATAAAAAGCTATCTTTATTGTACTGGCATATTCTAAACACGTAAAATTGGTTGTTCAGGTAGGAAGCAATTCTCTGAAACATTGTTTCAGTAGCACTGATAGCAACTTTGTGCCAACAAACAGCAATGTTTCACTTTTAGTATGTTCTTCCTGAATTATGCAGATGGCAATATTCCAATGTTCAGAATCTCACCCTAGTTTGTGGTGCTTCCTCTGATGAAAAAGAAGTCCACTTCTCTGGTCAAGCAGCCCCTGCTAATTGATATTCACCAGAAATCATCATCAGGCTCTCCATGAAGAGTGGCTGCAGCACTAAAGCTGGAACACAGATAATAATGAATTTTGAAACAGTCTAATACACTTCCTTCTTAGGATTCTCATCTACCCTTCCCTCACACAGCATACACATCAAATCATAAGTCGCCCAATCATCTAGAGGAGGTTTTTTTAGGGGAGGGATAATTTGAACACTTATAGGAATGTGGTGAAATCTGCTTCCCCAACATCTGCTATCACAAACAATCTATAAATAGAGACCTGCTCAAATAAACTTAGAATGCAATCCATTCTTTTGACATTTGCTTTAAAACTTTAACAAATCTTAATTCAACTGCAATACAGTAAAGATTATCAGACAAGTGTAATTAGTATGCAATTAAAAGTGTTTAATGGAAAGGATTTGTTTTAATGCAAAAAGGCCCCACTTGATAAAAAAGCAAAAATAAATATGAACCATACATGTCAAGCACTAGCAAGATACATACCTGTCCTCCTTTCCACTACCTGAGAGTTTCTCAGAAAGTACTTCAGCTTCTTTCTTGAAGTCCTAATAGAGAAAAGAAAGTCATTACTGGTTGCTTTTGTGTGGTCTCCACATTCCACTGCTACTCAAAAAAACAGGAATATGATTAGGTACTTAAAATTACCCTAAGTGCTATACATAGAGTAGAAAGGACAGGTCACTGCCACGATGCATTATCATCTAACAGATACAATGCAAAAGGGAGAGGGAATGAAGGCGAACACACACATTCATGTTCTAGCTTGTACATGGCAAGGTGGAATGGCTGCTGGAGTGGGGCAGTTCTAGGAGTGAAGGTGCTAAATGGCAATTGGTCTTCTTTTCTCTCTGCTTTCAACCAATTGAAACAGCCACTGATAGAGACACAATCTTATTGATTGCAATGGGGTTTTTTGGTCTTTATTTCAAAAATAGCATGCTTATGTCTGAACAGCTTTGTAATGGAATTTGTTATCCGAAATTTTAGTTTGGCATATTTCACGTGTCCTGTTATTGGTTTTCTACCATAGTATGACCTTTTCCAGACAAAATTTTGTGGTCCCCATAGGTCTGTGGGTAATCTTAAACCTGTATGTTTAAACTGTTTAAAACCAGAATGTACACACTTAAGTATTTGCCCACTATTTTTTCTAGTATCATTGCCAAATTCAAATGATCTTGTATTTGTCAAAAGTGATCAGTGAATAAAAGATTAAGAAAGTAGTTTGATGCAAGAATTTGTATGTTACAAGACCAAATAGAGATCACGGTACTGCAGCGTGATGGAATTATAGTGGTATCACTGCGTATTACCAATTCAAAATGAGTAACAGAGATCAAAGGCAGAACAGATGTGGGGAACCTGCAACTGTTACTGTACTACAAATACCTATTATTACTGACCACAGACCAGGAGTTGGGAGTTCAACAGCATCTGGAGGGCCACAGGTAAGCCACCCCCACAGTAGCAAATGATAGCGCTTTCCAGTGATTCGTTCAGATCGCTTACAGCATTCAGTCCTAGATATTGTGATGCACAGAGAGGATCTAACATTCTACTGTTCCTTTTTGAATTTGATATCATGCAGCAAAAAAGTGTAGCTATAAACAGCAGGTTTGCCAAGCTGAACTCAAGTGTGGCTACTAGAAATTTATTGTATATGCATGAAGCATGACTCATTAAGCCAAAAAGCTATAATCAAGGAAGTATGATGGCTTGGAATCCGTTCTTGTAAGCTAATCATTAATTCAGCTGAAGATGGTTAATTCTGGATAACCGCAAAGCAAGCTGCAGAAGAATCAGTTCAACTGCAAATATCCACAAGGTTTGCAACAACAATCAAGTACACTGGAAATTTTTGTTGGTTATTAACTGAAATAATTTGGCAATACACTATTAAATGATCTCAAGTGGGGTAAACATTAGGTAGACTTTATATCCCAAGTTTCTGATACAACAAAAGCTAGACCTCAACATTTTAAATTAATTGGATCTTGTTCTACTCTTTAGTTGGTTGTGTACATGCTATCTTGCATGCTTGCTTGTCCAGTGTGAAAAAGACAAAGGAACTACTGAGATTGTTCTTGGAGTACGTGAGTTCCAAACCTGATACGTCTCAGGTGCATTAAACTACCATCTTGCTGAAGCTAAGCACATCTGGTTCAGATCAGAACCTAGATGTGAGACCTCCTATAAACCACATGTATATCACCTTGGGGTCCATAATGGAAGAAAGCCAGGACATTAGATGTAAAAATAATGGACAACATTACCTCATTTGCAAACTCCTGCTCCCGATTCTGCTGTATTATTTTCATGTATTTTTCCAGTGGATTAGTAATAGCATCTCCACCATGCTCTTCAGACTTTGAGATAATGGTTTTCAAATCTGCCACATCTTCATGCTTTTTCTCGGTTTCCACTGCCTCTTGCATACACTTTTATGAAACCAAAGAATGAATGCCATAAAACATTTTAACAGAGAAGAAAGGAATGCTCCACTAAAATGTGGCTCACTGGTAACATAATCCCACCTACACTCAGCATCCTATACTTTTATATAGTCCTTTAAGATCCTTATAAAAGAAACAGCACAAAATTAGTTGCAGCAAATTACCTGCAATAATGATGTCTCTTCACAGACAAGTTAAATCTTCACTTCTGTTTGAAGTGGCATACTTCAACCAGAACTAAACTACATTTGATTATCAAATCCCCCATTTTACAGAAGTGCAACTGGCCTCAACCAGAAGTTGGGCATTTGATGTTGCAATCCCATGCTATAGAGAACATTCTTCCAGCAGATTCAGCAGGCACCCTTGCTATTGACTTTCAGGTGACTCTTGAAGGCCTTTTATTAATGTTGAAAGCTCACTGTAGCAGCTTAATTTTTGATTTGCCAGTGACCTTAACCATTATCTGTATTTTGCTTTCTCAAATGGTGTTTTATGTCTTTAATGTTACACACAGTCCTGATATTTTATATGGTGGTCTAGAAATACTTGCATAAAAAAGTAAAACTTTGCTAAATGCAAAGTACTGTTAAAAAGTCAGTTCTCCAAGAGAATGTTTGTACTGGTCCCTCTTTCCCCAGAACATATACTAAGAATAACTGATGCAGTTTACTTTCCATCTTTGGTGGTGTCAGATTAATGTGCCATATCTTGGTTTTATTACAGAAATGGTAAGAAATGCTGACCACTTAGTTCCTCATGAGGAAGTCCACTGGATGGGAAGGACTCCAGCCTGCTGTTAGAAGTAGCAGTGCTGCAGCCTCCTATCATCAGAGCACCCCAAGACAGCATACTCTCAGAAGTGATCATTTATAAAAATTCCTATTCTGCACAAAGAGCTTTAAAAATAGCTGCTCTATAAACCATCTCCTTCTTCCAAAAGGAAGCATTCAAAGGTTGTCCAGTTCTTTCTTTGTAAAACACTTTCCTTTTCCCAGTACTGAGGCACTATGAATAATCCAACATAATAAATCTGATTTCTGTTCAACCAGGGTGGTTGGGATATAGTGGGGGTATAATAGAGCAGGGAAAACCCAATTTAATGCAGCTTTACAGCAGCTTACTCATATCCCTGGCAAATCAATATGGTGTTAAAATGGCAGGTGGCAAATAGCTTCTGATCTATCAATGTTCACCGGAAGGAAAACAAGTTCTGCAGAAATTCTATCAGCACACTACAGGCAACGGCCACTCCACAAAACTGCCTCTGAGAATCTGCTGTCTATACAGGCAGTCCCCCGTTTATACAGGGGTTGTGTTCCGAGGCACTGTGCACATCGGTTCCATTGCGTATAACTGGAACCCCCATTCCACCCTTTAAGTGATGTCTTTATGGCGTTTCCAGGTCACTTTTGGGTTCGGCGTGATGTGCATTTACAAGATCGAACACATACTGGACGCATGTAAATGGGGGGGGGGCTGCCTATATGTACAGTCCTAGTCCAGAAAAAGAAAGTACTCTTTAGTTTATAATAACTATTTTAAATCACCAAGACTCTGAAATGCATTACCAATTCTTCATTTGCTTTTTCCAGTTCTCCTTGCTCTCTTTCCAAAGTGTCCTGCCTCTCTTGCTGCCTTTTTCCTTCCCTCTCTTCCCATTTTTGCTCCTCCTGCTCCTCCTCCTCCTCTTCTTCCTCCTGTTCTTCAGGATGCTTTTGTTTCTCCAGGGCTGTTACTTCTGCTCCACCTAATACATAGAGGGACGTATTAAGCAAAGAAAGACAGTTTTGTATTCTGAAGCATTAAATCAAACACAGTTAAAGTATATGGATCCATATTATTCCAAACAGATAGGTACCTAACAGTGCATAGAAAAGACTAATAATCCAGAGAAGCAGAATATGTCAAGTCCTGCACAAACTGTATTCAGCTTCCTTTACCTCCATTTACTGTATATTGATGATTTTCCAACGCTATGGCTGCCCAATAAACTCTCTATATAAGACTGTGCAAGATCACTAAACTACAGAAAACCTACCTGTGCCTAGTCATCATGATGGTGCAGTAGGATACAGAAATATATTAATAGTTAGGGTACATTTTGTTGAAATGTCACAAAGCAAAATAAAATTTCAAGCACAGCAGTTTCAGCTGTCTAACAGAAATAGCAGGCTTGAGAAGAGGACTGCTGCAGGGCTCCCTGTCACAAATATTACCCTTTCAACTGCCCCAATATGCAAACAAGAAACATGTTACTTCATAGAGCTTTTGTTTCTCTCAACATTTGCCCTCTGGAATCCCCATCTTTCCATACAAATTGTTGAAAGTGGTGCACTATGCAGGGAGAATAGTTACTATCAGACTCACTCCCCACCCATCTTGAGTTCCCCTAGGTCCCTCTACCCTTGTTGCCTTATCCTCAAATGTCCAACATAATTGTGTGCCTTCCTGTTACAGGTATGGAGAAGCTTTAAAATTATGTTCTTAAGTTGACAGAAGCAGCTCTAAACTGATATATATTATGAAGATATTCTGTTGTGGACAGTAGCCAGTTTAAAATAATACCATTTACTGTATTTCAGACAAGATGCTGCAAAAGCTTCAGTTTCCATATACTTTGATAAACAAGCCATCTAAAATGGCTATTCACACTTGTTTGAGCTGAAAACTCACTTATGTCCTGCTGTGAAGTGCCCGCTGCTGGCACAGTAGCCGGAACATGGCTTCCACTAACAATGTGAGATGGATGTGACACATCGCTTTCGAGCTGCTCTGGAATGTCCTCTTGATCTAGAGGAGAAGTAGGAACAATGCCCTCATTATTCTGCAATTATCAAAGCAGGGCAAAGAAATGGACACAGTGTGGGAATGACTGAGTTCAGAATGCATAAGTGTAAGCCATTAATTAAGTGCTCTTCTTGGCCAAGCCAACCATTACCCTAAGAATGAAGAAACTTCAAATGGGATGTTTTAATCAGAATCATGGGACTGTCTGGCTTGGAAACTAGTTCTTACAATATGTTTCCTAAGCAAAGAGTCAAAACAGCTTCAACTCAATGTGGACTTTGTAGGATTAAAATCCACCAATGAGACACAAGGATGAATGCAAAATATGGGGGGGGGCCTGGTTGCATTTGAGTCACTTCCATAAAACAAAACTTTCAAGTTTCCTATAGTTTTGCCTCTTCTCAGGCTGGAGTTTATTGGTGTTTGGTAGGGCTTGCAAGCATCATGTCCCTCTCCAGTTGTTTCAACTCCTCTATCACCATACATAAACATCACTGTAACAGGTTCTGTCAGAAAGCAGCAGTCTGTTATCTTTTAATATCAGCTTTTTCATTACTGTTATTATATACATTTTTATAAGGAACAGCAACATCTGAAGGGCCACAACTGTCATCACCCATAAGCAATGGCCACATAGGCTGTGGCTTATGGGAATTACAGTCCAACACCATCTGAAGTGCCAAAGGTTCTCCATCCCCAAAAAGATTATATCAAAACATAACCTGGCTAATTTACAGGCTCAATATCCAGACGATTAGTCTGAGGTACCTATCACATGCAGCATGCCACACATCTTACAATTTTTTTGTATACCATGCCCTCCCCCTCAGCCAAGCCTCTGCTGCCAGTGATAATGTATACATGTGTACACATGTGCCCATCCATCCTTTCATATCCATCTACAAACACTGAGAGAATCAACACAAGGAACTGTGTGAAAGCAACACAAGCCAATAAGTTATAGTTGCATATTATTATTATTTTGGCAAAGCTTTAATTTGCACTCCCTCAATAGTTCTGTCCAACCAAAATTATAGTTTGTACTGTATATCCAGTGCTGTAACCCTCTCTTTCATGCACTTACTGGTTTTCCCTGTGCATTATCCAATTCAAACATTTTTCACTTTCATTAAATCTCATTATTTTACATCACATCTTCTAAGTTTTAAACCAGAGCTTTCCAAACTTTTCATGTTGGTGACACACATTTAAGACATGCATCGTTTTGCAAAACAGTAATTCAGTTTTACTAGCAAACTGGAGGTTAAAGTAATCCCTTTCCAGCCCTGGAAGGAGCGCAAGGAGACACAACTACACACTGCAGCCAACACACTAACGTGTCACGACACACAGTTTGGAAAGCTCAGTTTTAAACTAGCTCTAGTTTTTCATTTCCAGGTTGTGGCAAACATCAAATATACTAAAATGTCTATCAGAAGAGTGCCAGAGTTCCCCAAAGGCCTCACCAATATAACCAATATAATCTGTACAGCTTCAGCTTCTGCATATTTTGCTTTTCTACTAATGTGGTTTCCCAAGCCCAATGTGTAAGTCATACAATGTCCAATACCATTCCCACTAACATCTACACACATACATACACAAGGATTAGGCTAGGCTTCAGTTCTATGCATTTTATATGTTAAGACCATTACACAGTTGCCTGGTAAAAGGGGTGGCTTAAAAAGGCACCCCCATTTCCTTAGAACAAGTTGAGAAGTTATGAAAAGCCAAAAAAACCCAAGAGTCATACTTAAGAGATTTCTGGCTTTAAAAAAAGGTGGCTCCCAGATAAAAAAAATTCTGCATTGCTTCTTTCTGAAAAATATAGTAAAAACTTACATTTACTGGCAGACTCATCATTTCCAAGCTCAGAGTCATCATTTCCAAGGTCTTTATACAGGAGCCTCTCAGATTTTGCAGAGTCACTAACACCCTGAGTTTCACCTTGCTGCTGCTGAAGACTAAAAGGAAGGAAGGAGATGGGAGGAAAATGATTATATTTAGTTTAGAAAAGTTTCTAAAACGTAAAGTTAATATAGTCCCATGTCACATCTGCAGAGCACACCATGGGTATAACATACAAAGACATGAACATTAGTTACAAGAAAAGCTTATCAAAGCTCTTTGTTTTGCTCTTGTAGGAGGAGCGTTTATGCACAGTCTTCCCTATGCCAGCATCAACCATAAGAAAACTGAGTTAAGGTTGTATGGAGGGGGAAAGCCATAGCAAGGTTCCTTTCTGCAGTCTGGATGACAGCTTCCATGCTGTCCAAGTGTTCTAATAATTCAGATTTCAGTCATAACATCCAATATCTAAACTCATGATCTCATATTCACAATAGCAAGGTTGCCTCATCATTTTATCAACTTGCATACCACTGTACAGTACTCTCTACCTTCTTCTGGTGCAGTATTACCAAACACACTAACTCTTATGGGATACAGCTCTCAAAGTGGAAACATGGCCAGGATAAAGGTAAAGGTACCCCTGCCCGTACGGGCCAGTTGTGTCCGACTCTGGGGTTGCGTGCTCATCTCGCTTAAGAGGCCGGGAGCCAGCGCTGTCCGCAGACACTTCCGGGTCACGTGGTCAGCGTGACGAAGCTGCTCTGGCGAGCCAGCACCAGCGCAGTGCACGGAAACGCCGTTTACCTTCCCGCTATAAAGCGGTACCTATTTATCTACTTGCACTTAAGGGTGCTTTTCGAACTGCTAGGTGGGCAGGAGCTGGGACCAAAGGACGGGAGCTCACCCCGCCGCCGGGGATTCGAACCGCCGACCATACGATCGGCAAGTCCTAGGCACTGTGGTTTTACCCACAGACCCACAATAGTTAAGCAACCTCTACTCACTCACCACTACCCCCGAGTCTGCATGTTAGAGGCCCACTACTATCTCCATCTCTTTTTGAATGCAAGGGCACAGCCTTCAGCAGCAAAAAAAACCACACAGCTTGTGTAAGGGATTAGGAAATGTTTGGTATAGCTCCATGTTTCTGTAATGTATTAAAAATGCAGTACACAAAAAGATACTGTAACTACTAAAGTGCCTGAGGATAAACCATTCTCTTGGAAGAGCGTTTGATTACGGATATCAACAGGTAACACACAAATATGGGACATGACATAGCTGAAGATCTTTCACCAGTATATAAACATTACCTTAGTTTTTGTTTGCAGGAGGCTGGGGAAGAAGAAACTGATATATTAGAAGCATGATCAGGAGATGAAAGGTTGCCTGTTCTTTGAATGGGGGAGAGAGGCTGGTCTGCATTCTGATGAGGGGCAGCAAAAGATGAGGCAACTGTATCTGCAGAGCAGAAGGCAACCACATATTACTGTGCAATAGTATCTGAACAGCTACTGTAAGCAACAAAACACTTAATACCAGTGATGTGCATTGGAAATTGTTCCTGGAAAACCACAGAATACTTTAAAGAGGGGTAAAAACACAGGAACATTGGAAGACTTTGGGTGCTTAAAAGATAGGCTTGGTATTCTCTAACACTGGTTTTCAGATTAGAAAAAATTGGTTCATTGTGGAAAAAATACAAAAATATTTTTCTGCACAGTACTTCTCACTTAAGTTTATCTCCATGTTTTGATTAAATAGCAGGAGCAAGAGTGTGTTTAATCAGAGTATACTGTGCGTGTGTGTGTGTACGTACACACACACACACACACACACACACACAAAGACTACAGAGAGTCAGCAAGTAAAAGACAATCAGTTTCAATGATAAATAGTGTGGCATTAAAAGGGGGTTAAATGAAAAACAGCATTTCCATGTTTGCAGCAAGTAGAAATGGACCAAGGGAAGGAACCATCACGGCAGAAAACTCTTAATATCAGTAGCTCCTGATACCCACACAAAGCAACAACTTCACTCATAATTCATGAATATCAAATTGCTTACCTTCAGAAAACAGCTTGTTACTAATATTTCTCTTTGCTTTGGAAACAGGAGTAGAAGACAGACGTCTAGAAGTAGACTTCTTCCGTGGAGGGGTTAGATGATCTTTCAAGTGATCCCCATTTCCTGGTGTCCATCTATAGCTTTTATTTTTTTGGCAGTGAAAGGGTACTTCTTGGGAATATAGATCATCCTGTGCAAACCAAAGTCTTTGGCGAGATGCCATGTTAAAGTTACTTGCCATAGGAGAGGAGAATGTGGTTTTTGCTGGGCCAGCTGTGGTTTGAATGGCTCTGTATTGGTAATTCCTGTAGGCCTCTTCTAAATATTCAGCTTCTCTCTCCAATTCTTTTATTCTAGCCTTTGTATTAGCTACAAATTCTAAATCAGAATCTTGTGAAGTGTTAGATTTCAGCACGTGGTGATGATGTCTGGGGCTTGTACCATTTCCCATTCCAATAAAATCAGCCATTGGCTGTGTTTTCAGGAAAGCACCATCTATATAAATATCAGGAGGTACAGTCTTGTCACCAAACAAGTCAATGACAGAACGATCAACCAAAGAGGGCTTTGGATTCCGATATACTTCATTCTCTAATGCTACAGGCAAGAATTTAATAGAGATAAAGAAAACAATTTAAGACAAATTTTGATTTGGTCATTGTATAATTAGCATGCAAAAATGAAAACTGAACTTACCTTACATTTTAATATAGTTATTCTACACACAAATCCAACATGATTTAATATAGCAAAAAACCTCAAGTTTTTTTCAGGTTTTTAAAGTTAGTATGATCAAATGAAATGCACAGAAAATATTCAAATTAAGCTGAAAGTGTCAGAGCCATAAAAGAAGAGAGTTAGATCCAAAGAGCAGGAGGCAGTTACACACACAAGAATAAAATGTTTAAAACCAAATATAGAAGTATAATGAAAGTATTTGCCTAGTCATTTCAAAATTTGAGGAGGAGTATGAGGTCTCTTAAAGCTATAGTAAGGTACCCAAGGCGGGGGGGGGGGGGGACGGACAACCAAATACACAGAAAGCCACATTTAAATTGGACTTAACTCGATTTCAGAAATTGTGATTTCAAACAAAGAATGGTGTAACAGAAAGGAATAAAGGGGGGCAAATAAGAAAATCTGAGTTGGGAGCAATAAAATATAGTAATGGAAGGTCTCTGGCTAAAAATTGCATGGACTCTTTTCGTTTCTTGGCTCTGATTAAGGAGCCTTTAGTCCATGAAATTGTACCCATAATAAACTGTTATTCTTTAAGATGCCACAAGAATCTTTGCTGATTCTGTTTCTGAACTGTCAGATATTGTCTACATAGGGTCAAGATCTTTCTCCATAATAAAAAATGTTTTAAATTTAAAAAATCACAATATCAAATACAGACTTTTACAAAAAAAACCCCAATACATGCCATTTTTCATGTGTTTTATTTCAATCTGCTCCAATGCTTAAATAAAATTGCTCTAAATAAAGCCTGATCTTATTGAGTTAGCCCAAAAGTAGAGAGGATTTTTCAAACCTGTCTGTGTCTGTTTCAGTTGTAGCTTAAGGTCTTCCATTTGGGCATTTAACTTCCTGATAGTATTTTCACATTCTGACAACTGAGTCTTCAGCTGTACACAATGTTCAATCTAAAAAGATTTCAGAGACAAAATGCCTTACTAATTCAAGAGCATTCTTAACACACTGAAGCAACTAATCCATATAGTTACAAATGAGCAATCAGCCCCCCAGGTCTCAAATGAATGAACTGGTGGAAGGGAGACAGAGAGAAACAGATATTTTGATTTTGAGCGCACCAGTTCCTCATCTAGATAAATGAAGACTATGAATGTAGCATCTACACTTGGCCTTTATTTGGGAGGATTTAGTTGTCTAATTCCTCAAGTATAATATTAGCGCAGTAAGCATTTACAACACTAACAATTTACTTAGTGTCATGCAAAGAGTTCTCAATTCAGCAGCAAATACAAGTGTAGAGGGTGTGCACTACTTTTGCAGGATCAGACTGTATTTTTTAACATTGGTTTTAGACTTTAATAATTTGGAGTGAGGAAAATGTGGCTGATGAATTTATGCTGATTATATTGTGTTTAAAAAAAGTGTTTTTTAGAAGAACTAGCGTAAACAACAACAAAAAGGTAGTTTACCTCATTTTGTAACTGTTTTTCCAAGAGCTGCTTATGAGTGTCAGATTCTTCACCTTCAAGCTTCCTAGCATGTTTTGCTCTTTTCAGCTCTGCCTCAAGGACCAAATATTCAGCTGATGGCCGACTCAACTCTATAAATAGGGGGGGGCCGGGAGAATAAGTTAAAATCTAATCTTGCCAGGAAACACTGCATCTGATAAACAGATACTCTGTAGCAGACCATCCAACTACAGTGGTACCTCGGGTTACATACGCTTCAGGTTACATACGCTTCAGGTTACAGACTCCGCTAACCCAGAAATAGTACCTCGGGTTAAGAACTTTGCTTCATGATGAGAACAGAAATTGTGCTCTGGCAGCGCGGCAGCAGCAGCAGAGGGCACCATTAGCTAAAGTGGTGCTTCAGGTTAAGAACAGTTTCAGGTTAAGAATGGACCTCTGGAACGAATTAAGTATGCAACCAGAGGTACCACTGTACACTCTTTAGCGTTCCATGCTATGATTCAAATGGTTTAACTCCTGGAAAGCCCTGGATGCAGGCAGTCACTGAACATCCTTCTTAGCATTAATCAGGACTTAACAAAAGATTAATAAGGTTCCATCCAATAATAATAAAAACAATGATGTGGGTTTTGCACAAATCAAAATGGATACTGAGGACAGCACAGCACAACAAACCAAGGAGAGGAGCCAACAGTGGACTTGGCCTTATGAAGTCCTATTGGTGAATCTTCTTCAAAAAATTGAGTCATTCTTCTATGTTTTTGGCTATCTTAGCCTCTGGGGCATCAAAACACTCAAGTACATAATATACACATTGACATACACCACTTATAATAAGGGCATATAACCAAGCCAATTGAGGTCCCTCTATATCTGAGGTCATCTTTTTAGCTCCTTGCTTGAATCACAGTCATTTGTATATAATCAGCAAAGCACATATGCTTTAGCCTTTGGCTAGCTACTGCAGATTTTATATCTTGTGCAACACAATTTTAATGAAAGCCCATTGATGTCATTGTCGCTATTCAATAGGTGCCAGTGACAGTCTTGCAAAGAGACAGGTGCAGATAAGTAGTTTTGAACTTTAGGAGTTACTTCCTGAAGCACTATGAAAACCCTGAAAAACCCATTTAGTTATGACAGAAACACTAAAGAAAAACAAATAGACATTTAACACAGAGAAACAATGAAAAGAGCAGACATGATATTACATTTCTAAAATGTATTTTCTTTGCAAATCTTGCTAATAAAATTTTTCAAAGAATATTAGATTCACACTAACTGTCTCGGAGTTCCAAGTTTTCATTGCGCGCCTCTTCCAACTGTTGTTTGAGTAGCTTATTCTGCACCTGAAGTTCCATTTTCTCTTCTTTTAGTGTTGGATAATCTGAGACTTCTTCCAGTTTTTTTGTCATCAACTGATTTTGCTTGCTTAATAATAAAACTTGAGCCTTGACTGAATCTATTTCCAGCTGGAAATAAATACCATATTAGGGGGGGGGGTTAGTAGACCTCTTACAGGATATAACTAGATAATTTATTTATCTGAATTATAAAGGTAGTAAAAATATATTGCTAAAACAGACATTTTAACTTAGCTACCTCAAGCTCTTTTGAATGTGATATAGCATGTTCAAATTCTTGCTTTTTTGAATTAAGGGAAATGGTCTCTTCATGCAAAAGCATAGCTTTATCTGGTCAAAAACAGTAAAGTTTTATATTAGACATATTTCATTAAATAAAAGTCAAACATTTGTTTTTGAGTGGTAGGGTTTTTTAAAATAGAGAGATAGATATAAAAAACACCTTTCATTTTTTTCTCATCTTCAGTAATTTTCTTGGTTCTAGCTATATATTCTTCATTTAGTTCAAGCTGATACCTAGGAATAAAAAGCATTGCAAAGTGTTGCCAAATTACTGAAGCACTGTCAGTTTCAATTCCATGTGTCTTTATAGCTAAAGTCATAGTAGCTTTATCCTGGATAACTAACCATGTTCAATCAGAACATTGATAAAAATCAGAGGGAGAAACCATATATAAAATTATAGCCCTAAACACAATTGACAGCTAGTTGAATCCAAGCAGATGAACTCAATTGAAACTTGCTTAAAATGGCACTCTTGGGTTTCTTTTTGTTCAAATTTGGCACAGGAGGAAAGAGGCCAGTATATCTGTGTACCCCGGCCAGCAGCATTTCCTTCAATCATGACATCACTACAAAATTTAATCTGAGTTTAAACATCTGAGCATCTTCTGATTAAATATTGAATATTTGAGCATCTCCTAATTAAAATCTAAATCCCTAAAACAGCAATTGCTAGCCTTTTTAAGGCAGAGGATCACATTGCCCTTTGGTCAGCACTCCAGGGACTGAAGTATGGAGGTGAGCATGGGCAATGTGTAAAGTACCGTACTTTTCTGTGTAGACTAGGGTTTTCTCTTTAAAAATCATGCTAAAAAGTGGGGGTCATCTTATACAAGGGGAGTGCATAGGGTGTACGTTCGACTGGTTTCTGCCATGGCTGTCAGGTGGCTATTGTGTGTGTTACTGGTTGCTGTGTCAATGGGTGGTGTTTACTGGCCAATGCTGTGGCAGTTGGGCAGGCGATTGACAGCTTCTGCTGTCGAGGGAACAGACGAGAGGTACGTGCGGGTGAGCGATTTTTGGCATTAAAAAAAAGCTCAACAACCCTGGATAATCCTGCCCCCCAAAAAATCTCAACAACTTTGTGCCATCTCCCCCCATTTTCTTAAATTTGAGTCCTCAAAAATAGGGGGCATCTAATACATGGGGGCATCTTACACACGGAAAAGTACAGTACAAAAAATATAGGGGAGCAAATACGACCTGTGGGCTAGTCACCCCTGCCTTAGTAGAGTTTCAGGTCATTGCAAGAGGATGAACAAGAAACCTCTATAGGCTTGCTGCTTCCATTACTCTCCTCTTGTCCATAGGGCAAGAGCTCCAAATTCCATCTCTTCCCATCACACTGACAGAAACATCCCTAGTATATAAAAATGCTCAATAAATGTTTCACTTATTAGTATATTATGTCTGTCTTTACTATGCGGCTACGTTTCTATGTGCATCATATGCAGTCACTGAAGGAGACAGGTAAATTAATTACTTTAGGAGTTCATTCTTTAGTTTCTGGTCGTAAGTCTCTTCAATGTTCTTCACAGTTACCTCTCGATGACGAAGTGCATCTTCTACAGTTTTATTTTTTGATTCTTGAAGGTTTTGAGCTCTGAAGCAATGAAAGAAAATGCACAACAAAACAATCCTAACAGAACAAATCACGTGACAGAAGCACCAGAAACATGATGGGGAACTTATTATTACAGTGGAACTCACAACAAAATGCTTCAACATGTGCCTAGGAGTGCTCTTGTCCAAGACCCTGGCCAGCCAGAACAATAATATTGGATTAATATTCTGGCCTCTTGGGGAGTGGGGAGTAGTGGTGCTGAGATAAGAAGCAAATGGATATTCTGCCACCCCATTAGAGTTCTTTTTTTAAAGTTCTCTCTTTTTTGTACTCCTGCAACCCTTGAAATTTTCACCAAGCTTCCTACCATCTCCCTCATATGTGGATGCAGCCATCTTAAGTTACCCACACATGGAGAACTAAGTTTGCTATTTGATTTGTTATTATGTTTTTACTTGGTAGGTTTAAAGTGACTCAGATGAGTCTTCAGACCCCCACATTTCCCATAATTATATTATAAAGCAATGGCTAATCATGTGGACAATAGTTTCATATTCAAATGTTCCCTTCTGTAACTACCCTTCCAATCAGTTGCTTAGAGCAAGAATAGCAGTAAAGTTGGGTGTTAGCTTCTTCAAATACCCCTCTCCATCCAAACTCTTCCACCCGCACAGTGCTTTGCAAAGCCACTTTTAACAGCACCTATGCTACTTCCCATAGTCAATCCCAAACATATGTTAATCTTAATCTTCTTCCCACATGGCACTGTTCCCCACCCCAAATTTCTTCATTATGTCAAAATAAAACAAAAAGCATCCTGGCAGCTTAAACTACTCTGCCATAAATCCAGGGTCACTATTACCCATTCCGGTTTGACTGCAAATGCTGGCAAATTACAAGTTCCACACTCTGCACAGTATGAGCACAGAGACCTGTATTAAAGCATACTGCAGCAATCACTGGTATGTCAGATAGTTTACAGCATAGTTACCAAGCCCTGACAGATTTAAATGTGGGCTGTGGTAAAGATTAGGCCTTAAATCTGACAACCCTACTGTTGAACATATACTACTGATTTCAGGAAATCTTGAACAACACTGGCTCACGAACTAATTATTTAGGACTGCAAATGCTGCAAGTAAAGGAATTACAAGGGAGGATGAAGCTTATTCCTCTATTTCAAAGGTTCACCAGCTCCCTCTTCTGGGTAATCAGAGGGTTTTTCATCTATCATTAAACTGAAGGGGAGGAAAAGGGAATTAAAAGGCGACAAACTTAAACTGCCTAATCAGTTAATTATGGATTCCTGAGCAACTATGCTTAAATATTATTTATTGTATGTATTTAACTAACTAAAGTTACATACTTATTTGATGGAAAACCTCTAAGCAGTTCACAAACCCATATTCTCCTAAATATACATCAGGACTAATGGCAAAACATCAACATGCACTGTTGTCAGTATCTAGATGGTTTAATTAAAAAACAAAAAAATGTATTGACTTCAAGACAAACTGTCAAAGCAATGCCAACTTTTCGATGAAACACCATAAAACTCAGTTAACAGGGAACAATTATGCCACTAAAAGCAGCTGGATAATACTGTTTCTAGAGGTGTAACATTACATTTAATGAAATAAGAGTAAATGAAGCTTCAGACTAACTGTAGCATTTAGAAGGCCAAGAAAAATATGCGGGTTTCCCCCAACTAAAGTTATATGAATGTTTAACAACTCACAGTTCAAAAGCTTCTATTCTCTGCTTCAGTTCGGCCTCTCGGGATCTTACTGTTTCAATATCTTTCAGCAGGCTTTGCCTTTGCAGATAAATTTCCCTTGCATCAATCTATTGGAAAAAACATATTTGTATTATATGCAGCCCCAAATGTAGCAACAGCTGCATATTCTATATGAGATTTGGAAGACTGTATTCACAACTAGCATTCTATTGTTAACTGGTTGCTGGAACTGCCTGCACTTCATTATGTAGTTTGCTGATAAAACTAGTTACTACTAGAAGGCTTAGCAGTAGTTACAACGAGGTAAAACAGGTATCTTATGAGTTATGGGAAGAGTTCTATGATTTATTTATTTTTAAGTGGTTAACAGTGGGAAGAGAATAAGACGCAAATATTAGGACATGGAAGATGCATTTCCACTTTTTCAAATACAGCATCCCACACAATTACTTATGCAGTGCATTTTAATAGCAGGCGGTCACATTTTTCGGCACAAATTGCAGATTAGGAACAAATCACAATGGAAGATACATAGAAGTAACCTGCAAGCAAAATACATAGTCACTCCCAATACATTTCCCAGTATGGCTCTTGATATAGGATAAAACCTCCCAACTCCTCCATTCTATTTAGTTCATTTTTTTTCAAACATTACCTCTTGCTGCTTCTGAAGCCTCTCAATAGCATTTCTTTCTCGAGAGCTTAGAGCCTCTGACTTGGCTCTGTGAACTTTTTCAAATTCTTTACGAAGCTCTGAAATCTCTTTCTGGGATTGTGCTCTCTCGTCCATCTTAATTTTGGCTATTTCAACCTCTTTGAAGTGTTGCAGCTGTGACATTCAAAATAAAATTATAAGTGTCAACTGTCACATAAAAACATTAGATCACAGGTAGATGGCTAATTCTTGTGACTAGCAAATCCCTCCTGTGTAAGAATGTGATAAAATACCATGGTAAATCCACTGCTCTACAACTAATCAGATCTTCCAATTTTCTTTTTTCTAAAAGCAGCTGTTGGGTGAACAGGCATTTGCAGCAAGCACTGATGCATGCAAGGATTAAGCCACATTATAGCCCTGATCCAAGTCACTTCCTATAGTGGCGCTGTGGGTAAAACCACAGTGCCTAGGACTTGCCGATCGTATGGTCGGCGGTTCGAATCCCCGCGGCGGGGTGAGCTCCCGTCTTTCGGTCCCAGCTCCTGGCCACCTAGCAGTTCGAAAGCACCCTTAAAGTGAAAAGATAAATAGGTACCGCTTTATAGTGGGAAGATAAACGGCATTCCGTGTGCTGCGCTGGTGCAGGCTCGCCAGAGCAGCGATGTCACACTGGCCATGTGACCCGGAAGTGTCTGTGGACGGCGCCGGCTCCCGGCCTCTAGAGTGAGATGAGCGCACAACCTAGAGTCTGTCAAGAATGGCCCGTACGGGCAGGGGTACCTTTACCTTTACTAATCTAAGCACAGATCTCCTGTTTAATGTAAGTTTGGCCGTTAAGTGAGCAAGCAACTGAGACAGAGCATTTAGTTGATCCTGCAACTAATCCCTATGATTACTCCTACTAATCATAATGTAAACAGCCATGTCTTGGTCAATAAATGTTTGTCCTCTGCTTTTCCTTCATGTATTTTGTGTACTCTGTGAATAAGTAAATTGTTGTACTAAAAAAAGCATCAAATAGGCCCATGAAAATTTGCATTAAGACTGACAAAACATCATTGCCTCTCCTCCCATTTCCCTTCACCTTCTGAGACATTTCCTCTTGAAGCTGCTGTTCTACTTCTTTTCTATATTCAGCAAGTTTTACTTCAAACGATTCAGATTTGTGGCACTGAGGATACATGTCTGCAAACTGTTCATCAATCAGTTGAAGTTTCTCAGCTATGAAAAAATATATAAAAGGCATTGTTCCGTTATATGTGATCACACTAAACAAAAGACATTTACATTGTTGACATTTTTATAGGGACCAGCTCTCCTACTTCATTTTATTATGCTATGATGCCAATGATGATTTATATTTATTGGTTGCTTTACTCATGGAAACATAAGAAGAAATACTAAAACCAGTTACAATAAACACCATCAATAACTCCCCCATCCCAAATCACACATCTATAGATATGAGACATGTCTTACAGATCCTGCCCCCTCCCAAAAGAGCCCACAAATACTTCAAAATCTTCAAATTAATGACCTAAAGCTTAGGTTAAAAGGAAGTCTTTGCCTGGTGCCTAACAGATAAATATAGCACCAGACAAAAGTCCCTTTAGAGAGCATTCCACAAGCAGGAAGTAACCATTGAAAAGTGGCAGAGGGCACTCAATGGTGACTGACTGTGTCAACAGCCTGCACCATTCACATATTACACTAATTAGCCAGGGCCTTAAAAGAAGCACCAGTCATATGAGTCAGAAAATCCCCAAGAGCTACCTGGAAGCCATCAGCCTCCAAGGGAAGGCCAAACTAATAGGTCCCCTGCCTCTGCTGAAGGGGAAAGGGTCTGAAAGCATAAAGCTATGACTAACCTACTAAAAAGAGCACTAAGGAATAAATGAAAGAGAGAAAATATAGAAATAAATCAGGTGCCTAGCAGCCTGAAACTATGCTCCAGCTTAAATAGATGCCACTGTACTCCAGATTGCATCTGTATTCCACCCTAACTTCCATTCTATGAATAGATTGCTTGGGCTAGTATTGCATTTGTGTTAGATCTGTTCATATGAAATATGTTTTCTGTCCTATGCAGTGTTTTGGAGTATACAGTACAGTGATGATAAAGGGTATTCTGCAATGGCTAAAATGGAAAATAACCTATTTCCCACAACCATAGAGAGAATGCCTGGGCTGCAGGTGCAGGAAGTAGAAGAGGATGATGTGACTGGTGTATACATTAGTATACTTTTTAACCCTGCAAGATTATTACCATTTTTGGGGTGGGGGGTGGGGAATAATTCTGCTATTTTTGTTCTACACTTGTGCAGCTGGCTAGTTGTAGCAAACTCATTGGACCAGTCTAGTACATACCTATGCAATCACATACCTATCTTTCCAGAGAACTCTCTGTAAGGAAGACACCATTTTCAACGTTTCTGTTTTCTCTCAAAGCACAAAACTCACAATCATATTGTGATGAAATGTGAACCCATAATTATGTTTTGATCCACATTTAGAAACTGCGACATATAAATATGTGCAACTCCTTCTTAGCTAAAAGCTTTCCCAACTTTTTTGAAGGATTATATGCTTTTTAAAGGTAAAAAGTTGTACATATACTCCAGTTAGTAAGGAGCTATGTCAGAAGCAGTATGAAAGCAAGGCTACAGAACAGATGCTACAGTAATCTCTTTCTTAAGGCTGAATATATAAATAGCTAAGAAAGTCTGAGGATAAAGCAATTGCAGTAACTCCACTTACCAAGGGATTCTTTACCAGGTGTGGGACTGGTCTGAGTTTCTGTGTTGCAGATCTGCTTATGCAGGCTATGGTCTAGCAGTTCAGTTAATATCTGTACAAGAAAGCCTTAGAGATACGCCATTAATCACACATCTCTTTTCCAACAAATGACAAGTTTCAAACTCAAGAAGGAATAAATATTATTTTGCAACAGTAAAAGAGTACCAAAGAATGGAAGTTGAACAATTCTAAAGAAAAAAAGCCGTCCCTGTTATTTTTAAAATTTCTTCAAAAAGAGCCTATGGTAGCAAATAATACATAAAAATATTTTTTTAAAAAAAACAACTAAAAATATCTGAAACATTTCAATACAGGTAAAACATTTTAAACATATAACATGTACATATGGTTGCCAACACCCATATTATGGGTATTGAGAGTGTGCTGGCTGCCCAGTTCCAGGTACTCCTGGAGAAAGCAGGTTATCTGGACCCATTTTAGTCTGGGTTCAGGCCTGGTTATGAGACTCCATTGGTCTTGATCACCCTGCTCTTTATCAGGAGAGAGATAGGGGAGTGTAACCCTCTTACTCTACCACTCAGCTGCTTTTGATACTATCAACAATGCTTTCCTGCTGGTTCGTCCTTGCGAGATGGGAGCAGGGGACAATCTTCTGCAGTGCTACCACTATTTGTGGGGCTGGTTCCACAGATAGCATTAGGTAACAGTTTGTTAGCAGTTATGAAAGGAACCATCTTGTCCACACTACTATTCAACATCTATATAAAGCTGTGGGGAATGGTCATTAAGTGCTTCTTATTTCTCTGTAACATCTGCAGATTCAGAATCAGTGACTGAGAGTAGTGGTGGACTAGATGAGGGCCAATAAACAAACCCAGCAAGATGGAGGCCTTGTGAGTAGGTGGTCCCCAGGTCCAGGAATTAGGCATTTTGCCTGGCCTAGATGAGGTTGCACTTGCTCTGCAATAGCTGGTTCATACATTGGGGTGCTTCTGAATCCATCATTAACACTGGAAGCTCATGTGGCTCCAGGGGAAATGAGTGCCTTCTACCAGCTTCAGCCATTCCTAGAGACAGTCTTGCTGCAGTGACCCAAGCACCGGTAACCTCAATACTCTATTAATGCAATGTGTTCTACATGGGGCTGCCATAATATTGGTCTAGAAGCTGTGCAGAATGAAGCAGTTAGGTTACTAATTGATATGTGTGGGTACAGACACCTAACACCATTTTTAAAGGAACTGCCCTGGCTGCTAATTTGCTACTGCACCAAGTTTTGGGTATTAACGTATAAGGCCCTAAACAATTTGGGACCAGGTTATCAAAGTGAACATCTTCACCTATGCAAATCTGCCCATTCCCTAACATCACCTACAGAGGCCCTCAGGGATAAGCCACAGCCAGAAGATATCCACTTGGACTACCCAGGAAGAGGGTCTTCCCTGGCTGTGTCCACTCTCCCAAATTGTCATCCCTAGAAATAAGGCCTGCGCCAACAATGAGGCAACTCTAGCACATGCTGAAAACGTTTTAGTTTAGCAAGGTTTGTGATGGCTACTGATGCTACTTTTTCTTCTATTTGTATTATATTTTGATATTGCTGCACACAGGCTTCAGGTGGCCACAAAATGTGAATTATTTTGCTTTTCTGTCTAAATATTTATGTATGCTATCCAAAGTTGCTGTTCAAATTCCTCTCTTACAAACGGCAGCTTGCCTCTTCAGCAGCAGGATCTGCTTATGCGAAAATGTCAAAGAAACCACTAGACACTTATTTTAATGTCAAATGTTTCCATCTGTTTTTAACTGCTGTACTTTTATTGTTAACATTAAAAAAATTAAACTACCATGGAAGTTTTGAGTGAAACCCAGTTTTGAGTTAACTGTTATTTAAACAATTAATTAAATTGTTTAAACACGTGTGCATAATTTTAAACACACACTATATCTTTGGACTGTGGCCTACAATCTGAACTTACTTAGGATATATGTACATTATAGCTGTACCTTTTGTATTCTCTTTTTCTGAAGCTGAAATCTGGAAAAACAAAAAAATAATTTAGTCAATTTATACAGCAGTCCCGAGCTCCAGCTGAAGAGTTGCAAAATAGCTGCCACGTCCCAAGCCCTGCCATTCCCACTGGCCAGGGCAAAAGGTATGGGGCATACCCTTCCCCCTTTTTTGCTGTGTGAATTCCAGGCAGGTGCACCAGAGGGGTCTGAGGATCAGGCGGCATCCCTCAATACTCCCTTTGGGGCTTTTCTGCAGGCTTCTGCCAGTGAGAGAACAACCACTAATAGTTTCCCTCGCCACAGAGCACAGTAGGGCCTTTGCAGAAGTGCAGCAAAGGGTCTCTACCACCTTATCCTAACCCTCCTCTTCCACAGCACAGGTGGAGGATTTTGATTGCATTCTTATCTACCCAATGCTTAACAAAAAATAAAATTGCCAGAAATAAGATTATTTTACCAGTGCTTTGTAAAGATCAGTCTTTGGATTGATCCTTATCAGCTGTAGTAAATCTTGCATGGTGAGCGCCTTTATAAGGAGATAAAGAAACCAGATAACTCTCAATTATACATTTGACAATCCATATTGTCAAAACAAAAAGTTAAACAACTAAGCCAACAAAATCAAAATGAGATAATGATTGGGATGTCACATATACCTTCACTGTTTGTATCAAGGCCAATTATTGCATGCCATCATACACACTTTTGCAGTCAAACACACAGGCACTCAGAAGTTAACAGTTTCACAATGATTCGCATTGAGTCTTATAATCACTCACTCTTGCATACACAAACACACAGTAGTACACACATACACAATGTCTCACCTTCAGAGGCTCAGAAACAGTCAGTCATGCATGCACAAAGTCTTTCCTAGAATTTACCATAACATATCTCAGACTGCTTCTAAGCTGGCTGATCAAACTGTAATTAACTTTGCAATCAGCACCGTTCATTCTGAAGTGGTTTCTTCTCTGTACTTTAGATGTTTTGTGGGACCATTTGACCTTCAGTAGGCATTGGAAAGAAGACCGTACATCTGGCATTCCCAAACTCTGCCCTCCAGAAGCTTTGGGACTCCAACTCCCGTCATCCATTGTTAATAGGACCCGTGGTCATGGGTGATGGGAATTGTAGTCCCAAAACATCTGGAGGGCAGAGTTTGGGGGTGCCTGCCTTACACAGATGAACCTGATCCTGCTGTACATACCCATAATGTCTTATTCCTGAGATTTCCAATACTAATTAAAGGCCTGATCCTAGCAGAAACAGATCCTTCTGTCTCCTGCTGCTGGAAAGTCAACAGGCTTTCCTACACCCACTTTTGGACTGTTTGTAGTTACATATAAAATGTACACACACACACTATTATGCTTCTGGGGTGGTGGTGTTATAAATTGTTTGAGGATTCTAGGGGGTCAATGTGTGCATGGCCCGGTGGTGTGTGTGTGTGTGTGTGTGTGTACTGGTGTTCAGTAAGATAGCTGGGATCTGCTACTGGGCTACACTTACTTACTTACTTACTTACTTAGTAAAAAATGACAAATGCATTTTTGGCTAAAGATGGTCTAGATAGGTTGATAAGACAATGTAATAACTGCATTGGATAAACAGGACTTCATTTATGTACTGAGCATAATTTAACACATCCTTCAAAAGAAGGTACTTTACCTTATCCTTTTCTAATCCACTTTCTGGATAGAAGACAGACAGTGAATATTCATAGCCACATCTGCGCAGGTGATCTGCCACCAGACTGTTAGAAGCACCAATTAACAATGAACTGCATTCACTAGAAACAGCTTGTGGCTGAATTTTTCCACTTAAAATAGGATTCATTAGATCATGTATGAGCTGGTTTCGAAGCTGTGTCTGGCACAAAGAAAAAATTATATTATTGTTATCTGGGATTTCTAGAAGAAAAAGTGAAAAAGAAACATTAAATAAATTGAAAAAAGTTTAAGACTTTGATATGTTAAGTGTACTGAAACCTTGTTACACTGGTGTGTATAATGCTTTCCGCATTGAACAGTCAAGCAATACATCAAGAGAAAATCTGGCAGCAATATTTCTTTCAATATATCTCATAATTTCATGGTTATATACATACACCTTTGCCCTACAGTTGTGACTACTGTATCAATGTCTATCTACTTTATTGTGCTTTAAATATATTGAAAGCTGCCTTGAGAATTTCAGTGAGTAGGCAGGGCGTAAATACTGCTTAATAAATTAAAACCCTTATTTTAATCTTGCTTAATTATATCAAATACCTTAAGTGAATCCAAAACACCTCGGCTCTTAAATGTCTGATATAATCTTCTCCGGAGTTCATCTTGTGACAGAGCTGGAAATTCATCTGAAGACATTAGGATCTGAAAACATGAGAAAACAATATTGCTATTTTTGCAGACAACCAAAAACACAAGCCATGGTAACAGAAATGTTGCCAGCCTTTTAATAATTGCATATCAAAACCCGAATTTCAAAATCTTAAGTGATTCTTAGCAGCATGCATCAAATCAGCATGTTTATTTGAGTTGCAAATGCAGGGCTATCAATTAGTGAAGTGTAGCTTACATTTACCATCAACAAACATCCTGGTACTTACAAAAACAGTATTCAACAAAGGAAGTAAACAGACATGATTAGTTATATACCTAAGCCACTTTCCTATGTTCTTCTGTTGCCAGCTGTTCTATTCAAAGCATTGAAACTGCAATGGCAAAGAACTGGAGACTTGTCCATTTAAAAAAATGCAGGTCTCAAAATTATATGAATAGGTTCGATCCCAATGGGATGGAAATTTTAAAATGGGTTTGCAAGGAGATTGACTAGGGATTGAGGCAGTGTAAAGGGTAACAGAAGCAAGTAAGGTTGAAGATAGGATTGAAACACACATCATAATTAAAGAAGGGTACCTTATTGAAGTCTGAATGGTCTAATGAACTTTCTATCATTATTTTGTTTCTTTAATGCACATGATTCTTTAATGTTATATTCTGTATGAATGAAAACCGGTACAACAAAAGCATACTTTGAATGCCCCTAAAATATACAGAACTAGAATGCAGTCCTATATGTGTTTACCAAGGAACAAGGCCCATAGAATTCAGTGACTTCTGAATAAGTACACTTAGGACCATACATTAAAAATGCTCACTTTTACCGTGCACAAAATGTACGTAACATTCCATCCCACCTCCTGATATTCTTCCAATTCTAAAATGATCAAGAAACAGAAGTGGGGATTAGGCCAGTACAGCAGATATAATAGGCTCAATTCCCAATGGGTGAGTTGACCAGTGTCACAACGAAGTCAAACCTTGCATTATACAGCTGTGGTAAACACAGCAATGCTTCTGCCAGTTGTGTTGCCACAGAGAGTAGCCAACATGAGGCTCTGAAATGGGCACTACAAGGGGTGGGGTAGGATTCACTGGATCTTAGTCCCATCCACTCTCTGGAGTGGGGTCTGATTTGTGCCTCTCTGCTATGGCAGCTTAGAGCTGGTGCAGCAAAAAAAACCAACCCCCCCTCCCTTTTCATCAGTGTTCGAAACTCCCATTGTTCTAAGCGCATTTTGTGACAGGGAAATTCATTAGCACGAGCAGTTTCTGAGCTCTGGGCACAGTGCTGTGCCTAGGATTTCAGATTAAAACTGCAGAGTGGAAGGAGAGGAGGACCTTTTTCTGCCTCCCCACTTCCAGCTACTCTCTGAAGACTGGAAAAGAGACCGCTTAAGAATATTAGGGGGGTTGGCAGGATAAGGACTAGACACCATGTGAAAAATGAATAGAATTATTTTAGCTGTAGTTCATTCATTTTCAGCTTTGTATTCTTTTTTTAAAAAGCATGCTTAGACATTCCGTTGTTGTGCCCATAATCTAGGTTTAAGGTGCCATTTATCTCCTAGCTTTCATATCTCTGTTTCTAAACACTGCTTTTCATCCCGGTTGGCAAGCCTGTGAGTGTAATTGAGAATTTGTTGTGACCAGCCTCCCAGGGCCGACTCAGATTGTTCTGCCTGTGAAATATTACGATACGCCTAACATTCAGAATCAACAGAAAATTGACGTATGTGGTGACACAATTGTTTTAAGATTCTAGAATAACGGAACTGAAAGGAATCTGAGATGTCATCTAGACCTGCTCAACATCAGGTCAGGAATGCAGGATTACAACACCTGTGACAGCCATCTCTACTTAAACACCTACAAGAACTCATCACCACCACATAGGCATAGCCAAGGAGAGGCAGCTGCTACCCCTAAATCAAGTAAATACAAATACTTAACTGACCAATCATATCACAGCTAGCTTGGTTCTGCCCCCTAACATAAATCCTTCCCCCCCCAAAAAAAAAAATCCTGGCTATGTGCATGCACCACCACCTCCTGAGACAATATGCTCCTCTGTCAAACAGCTCATCCTGTAAGGAAGTATGCCTCCCTGTTATCTCCATCCAGTGCCCTGGTAAATGGGGAGTGGGGAAAGAGAAAGAAAATACATCATCTTGCCCTGGAGGAGGAGCTGTTGTCACAGCTGCAAGTATACGAGCTGCCTATTTCATTTAACTACTAGATGCAACCCAATTTAATACAGGCCATGTTAGCAGTGGGCAACGACAGGGTTTTTCCCGTTTCCTACACATTCCCCAATACGGTGTCTGTTCTATTGTGAAACGAACTAGGGAGTAAGCTAGTCTGCAGGTTGAGTCTCCCGACCTTTGCTGTAGTCCCTAGGAAACTTCAGACACCTTATAAATAATACCAATAATAACAATGCGAGTTGCGCGCAGTCCAGAGCACATTCTCTTCCGTGTTCTTTTTAAAACGACCCTTCCTACTAGCCCACCTCTTTGCTAGACCTTTCGCTCCCCGCCTGCTTTCTGGCCGGCCTCGAGAAGCGCACTCCGCTCCCCGCCCGCTTGTTCGTACCGCGAGGGCGGCTGCGAAAGGGAGCGGCTACGCTTCTCTGGTCAAGGAGAGGCGCTTCAGGAAGCCGGCCGGGCACAACTCCTGAGGCGAGGCGGCGGGGCCCTTCTCAGCTCCTCCTTCCGAGTTTCAGGGTCTATTTTGTGGCGAGGAGAGCGGGGAAGTTCTGACACGGGCAGGAAACACACCGAGAAAAAGGGAGGCGGCCGCACGACGAGAGCTTCTTCCAACGGCCTCGCGCAGACGCGCTTCTCAAGGTCCCGCCCCCATTCCCAACGGCCACTCGCTCCCAACCGCCGCTTCAAGGCTCTCGCTCGCTCTCGTTGCCGCGGTTACTAGCGCTCAGCCAAGCACGTCGCTATTGCAGAACTCTCGCGACAACTCGCCGCTGAGAGACCAGCCCATCAGAATCAACCAATAAAAGGGGCTGGTCTCTATGACGACATCACTCTGCGCCGGATGTTTTGGGGAGGAGCGCCTCGCTGCCTTCTGCTTTCTCTTCTTCCTGTATCTGCTTTCTGGACCTCAGGTAAAACCTCTTTTCCCCACTCCTGTTAAAACGCCTGCTTGGGAAATAGTAAAACTGGTCCCCGCTGAACGGTCGAGAGTAGAGGCATTAATGGGGGACACCGGTGGTTCCCCATTGAGGTTCTGTGCGGTTCATGCCCACTCACCCTGAGGCCTGAATGTCTGCCAGGATGATAGAATCATATAATTGCATAGTTGGAAAGAACCACGAGGGTCATCTAGTCTAGCCCCTGTGATTTGCAGGAATCTTTTAGGCCAATGTGGGGCTCGAACCCACGACCCTGAAATCAAGAGTCTCATGCTCTTGTTGGTATCGGTCTGTCTGGAGATACAATGGAGTGTGCCTCCAGGTGTGAAGTTAACTGCTGCGTTTGCAGCACTAAAGTGACCTCCGCAGGATGCAAGCCTGGGGAGTGTGAACAGAGGTTCTGGGCTTCCCCATACAACAAGACCCCGCTCTTTGCCTCACTAGTGTGGTCCAGAGGAAAGCAGAGCTACTTAGGAAAGAAGGATGGAGAGGAAGACCAGCTTGAGTCTTCAGCTGTATGATCTATGCTCTTTTTCAGGAGGAATATCTTAATCATGTCTGGAAGCTTCTACTTTGTAATTGTGGGTCACCATGATAATCCAGTGTTTGAAATGGAATTTCTACCAGCTGGTAAAGTAGAGTCTAAGGTGCAAATTTTTATATAAATACTGAATTTTTACATAGTCATGAGCATGTCTAAGTCAAGAAAGCCGATAGCTGAAGGTCTGTATTAATTTGATGTCAATAGTTGGTTTCTAATTAAATTTGCTGCCACTGAAAATGTTACTGTCCTTATGTAGGGGTACAGTATTGCCTATGTATCTGATTGATGCTTGATTCCTTCCACTTCCCTCCCCTCCAGCCCCACTTCATCCCCCAAATCAGGCTGATTCAGCATCCAGTCATACACTGGGTTAACATTTTATGGAGGCAGAAAGAATACTGTCTGTATATCTGATGCATTACTGGCCAAATGTATATTACATTTTGCAGTGCATCACAGAAAGTTATTATATGCCATACTCAGTTTTGTTGTTGTTTTTTCAGGATGACCATCGCCATCTCAATCAGTTCATAGCTCATGCTGCTCTTGACCTAGTAGATGAGAACATGTGGCTGTCTAATAATATGTACCTGAAGACCGTGGACAAGTTTAATGAATGGTTTGTTTCTGCTTTTGTCACAGCAGGACATATCCTTTTTTACTGGAACCTCCAACCTGTGGGCATCTCTTGGTCTGCCAAGGGGTCCAGTTTGGCATACAGCCATTTTCTCCAAACCATGTCCATCAGCTGACATCACTGATGGTGTCCTACCTTAGCTGCAGGATTCTGTACTGTAGGATTCCCTACTGGGGTAGGGAACAAGATGGCACAGTCAAGGAAGCAGGATTTAATCCCTGCTCATCAACTGAATTTGGATCAAAGCCTTGTGCAAAAAGGTCCCTTGAAATAGCTGGTTCATTTACCATACTTCAAAGAGCCTTTTGCAAAGGCTTTGTGACAGCTCCTACACTCCTCTTTGAGCCTTCTGGAGGCTCTTAAAGCCTTTTGCAAGTTTCATCCCTCCCTCTTTCAGGCCCTGATTTCAGAGGCTTAAAGGGGAAGCAGGGGAGACCTGGAAAAGGCTTTGTGAGTCTGCCCGTGCTCCCCTTTTAAACCAATAAGTAAGGCAGATAATGATAAGGAATTGGCTGTAGTCAAATAGGTTCCTCACCTGTTTTAGAGCATTTTTGGTTGTTCTGTAGTTAATAAAAGTGATAAATGGATATGATTCATTTTGAGCTAATGCAGAACCAGAGTGTATTCATTTGAGAATGGGAGGCAACTATGAACTGAAATACATGGTGCCACCTGGAGAGGATTAAAAGTTGTTTTGGGTCACACAAGCGGCCCTTCAATTTGTACCCAATGGAAGTATGATTTCATATTTCCAAATGTTATTGCCCACTTGCTTAGGCCATCTTGACCTTCTTACTTGGCTTATGTCTGCCATCTGTTTCACATACTACAAATCTAGGCAATTCCCTTTTAGTTCAGGAATCAAATTAGGGGACCCTCAGGTTTAGTCTGACTTAGTACCTTTATCTCTATATTGTACTTGCACTGGTCTGTCTTCATGATGATAATCTAGTGTGCATGCCTGATAGAAGCGAGTGACAGCCAGTTAGGGCTACTGGCAGGAGTGGGGGTGGTAGCCTTTCTTCCCCTTTATCCACACATACCTGCTGCCCCCTATAAGTGACAGGGAGTACAGGGTGTGACTGGGGGCAAGCTGTGAGAGGAAGGAAATCAAAAGGGATAAAGGAAGGGTGGTTGGTAAAACCCCTAGGCAGCCCCTAATGTTAAAAAAGTGGTTATTTTCTTAATTTGTTCTACATATGAGATTTATAATGCTTCATGATGTAAGGCAAGAAGATGGAATCAAAAACTTCTTTAGTGATGTCTATGACTTGTATATAAAGGTAAGTATCCATAATAGAGGTAGCTAGCATTGTGCCCTCTGGCTGTTGTTGAACTACAGCTCCCATTAGCGCAAGAACCACAGCTAATGGTCAGGGATGATGGGAGTTGTAACCCAGCAACAGCTGGAGAGCCCTATGTCTTCCCTCATTGATCAACTCTTATCTGTGCTAATACAGTGGTACCTTGGTTTAAGAACCGCCCTGTTTATGAACTCTGCAAAACCGGAAGTAGTGCCCTAGTTTACGAACTTGACCTCAGTCTGTGAATGGAATCCGAACAGTGGAAGGGCACCGGCAGCGGGAGGCCTCATTAGGCAAAGCGCACCTCAGTTTAAGAACGGTTTCAGTTTAAGAATGGAACTTCCAGAACAGATTAAGTTCATAAACCTTGGTACCACTGTATAGGAAGCTATGCAGTACTAATATTGGGATTCTTGGTCTGGAAAAGGCACCCTATCTTACTCAATTTTTACCTAGAGGAGGTTAATTAGCAGTTACTTGTCAAGTCTATGAACAGAACCGCATTTAGAAGGAAGTGTAAATTGCTGTTTAGCATGTCTATATTATAAAGGATGACATATTTAGGCTTATGTTACAAGGACTGCCCCCTGCCCCGCCCCCAAAGTGATGGAAAGGGAGATTCCACAGCACAGGTATAACAAGTTGTGTTGACAATACAGGAAGGCAAGCTGGACCTCTTCTGAAATGAGTCAGTGACTTATGCTAGGAAGCAACATGTGTCATAGGAGGGAAGGAGTTGTTTGCACACCCCTTCTTTTCTGCCAGGTTTTCACAGTAGAAACAAATGATCTGCACTTACTTCGCTTTTCAGTAACAAGAAGCAAAGAAATGTGGCCCTGCCTCCTCATTCAAGGACAGAAAGAATACAATAGCTCACTTCGCACATTGCATTAAACTATGACTTGTGAATGCACACCATGCCAGTCCATGCTGCTGAAAAGCTTAGATTGTGCTCATGGTTTGTTTGGAAAGAAACAGGCCTGGGTTCATATATCATAGCAAACCTGTAGTTTTTCACAATGGTGGCACAGAAGCAGGGGAGAAGTGGAGAACTCTGCAGCAGCATGCTGTGTGTTCACATTACACCATAGTTTGTTTTAAACTATGGTTTAATATGAAGTACAAACTAGGGCGGTATCAGACAGCTACATATGGCTAGAGCAGTCATGTAGATCCTGACATTAACTTATTGTCTAAAAAGTATTTGGAGATGGTTGATCATAGTGGGAAATAACAGTTGTGCCCACCTGTAGTAGAGACTTTTGCTTGCATAGTGGGACTTCTCTCACTAGCCCCTGTGTACACCAAAATCTGCTTCAGGGTTTGGGGAATACTGTGAAGATTTTGGAGATATTCAGTTGGAAGAGGAATTACCCTCATGCAGTGTTGAATTTTCCTTTTCTAAAAAAAACTCATCAACTGAATAGTTAGATTTACCTGATTCACAAGCAACACTAAACAGGAAATATTCTCCTCCTGTTGTGCGCTAAGCCATGGTTTGGCATAGTATGTGCAAAGACAAACCATGTCATGGCGCTAAGCCATGGTTTGGCATAGTATGTGCAAAGACAAACCTTGCTCCAGACAAACCATGAGCTGCAAGCAAAGAGCAATACTTTGCAGTTTGTCTAGAGCAAGATAAATCACAAGACTGGATTCAGGTAACATACTAAACCAAACTATGGCCTAGCTCACAGCAGCAGGAATGGCAGAGGAGCAAAGTGGCTGTAATTTGGCTTAGCTGTATGTGTGAACTGAGCCACTCAAAGTGGCTCAGCCTAGACCTTTTTTGGCATGTCTTAATTACTAATATGTTCTCACTATGTTAATTTCTTTCCTCAGTTTGCGATGAATCCATTTTATGAACAGAATTCTCAGATTCGATCAACTGCATTTGACAGAAAAGTCCAGTTTCTTGGGAAAAAGCATCTTTTAAGTTGAGTTACTATTAACTGTATTAGAACCTAAATAGCCTGCTGTATATCTGACATTTCTGAACCTATAAAGGCTAATCTATATTTAAAAAAAAACAAACCACTTAAGGTTATCTATTACCTTGTATGAAAACCAATTTCAGGAGCCTAACAGATGTCTTTATTATAGGTGATCACTCTAGCTATGAAACATTTGTATATATCAAAATTAATTTTAAAAAATTAAATATTTAAAGCAGCACCTCCGCTAGCTTGGCAAAAGGTTAAATGAAGAACCTAGTTTTTTTTAATAACTAAAGCAAGCCAGGCCTCAGGATTTTTTGATCAGTGTGAAAGCATTCAGTTCAGGGCTATGTCAGTATTAAGACTAACCAGATATCAGAATGGTGTGTTGAAATGAAAAAGGTGTGGATAGCAGAACAGAAACACAACTACCCCGAAACACATAGTTTCAAGTGAATCGCCTCAGTTCAACTTGCTACCATTTTATTGGAATAATTGAGCACATAGTTGGGCAGAAACACACTATTTGCTTACAAGTGACTTCATTATCACGTGCACATGTGAATGAAGCAACAGGATGCAAAAACGGTGATGTGTTTTGCCTGTAAAACTTATTTGTAGTAACTTGCTGCTCCTCAAGTTTTTATTCAAAGTATTAACACCAAGCAACTAAACTGAAATTTAAAAGGTCAGAACTAAATCCCACTACTTTGTTTTCTATAATACACTTATTATATTGGGAACAATCCAATGAAGTTAAGCACTATCCAGTCCTATTCTAGGTAGATTGAATAGCCTGTATTCTTAATCCTCTAACTTTGACATCAGTGATGTGTACTATATATGAAAGACCATATAGCCTTAGCCTGGAAAAGAGTAAGGAAGAAAGCCAAAAACATCTATAGGTAGTCTGGCTCTCACTAAAGCCTTACATTAAATAACTCATTTATATGTTTTACTTAAGAATTTGCTTAAGCCTATTGAAGTTTCATTGTGCTACATTCCTACTGAGTGGTTACATTTCACGATAAACATACTGAAGTGATAGGATAACATATGTGATGTTTGATTCATTTGCAGAGATTCTGAATTAACATTCCAAATAAAATGTAAATTTATAATATTATATGCATTGATGCTCTCTGAATGAGTCATTAAGTCTTTCAGTTCATTAAACTATTCTGATATTAACTGCTGTCTTGGCTATGTTGTAATTTAACAGGAGGAAGTATTCAGCAGTACAAACAGAGTATGCTGTGTCTTTAACCATGTAGGTCTCTTTTCTTTAGTATATGTAGAAAAAGCCTTGGATAACTAGCACAAGTCATAATACTTCAGAGCTCTCTGAATTACAGTAACACAAGTCACAAAACCATTTGGCCCAAGGATTCTGTGACATTGTGTTGTTCAAGAACACACACTATGGCTGGCACCCAAAACTGTGCAGGCAGTGTTCTGCTCATGCAACAGAACTTCTGCTTCCTCCCTACCCACTAATCTGCTGGATCAATTTTGGAGAATGCATGAGGGGCTTCAGGAGAGGAGAAAGTTGCTGTTTTACAGCAAGAGTCTGTTGTGCAAGCAAAATGGCAGCACTGGGTACAGCCCATTATAAATGGGCACAAGACTGAGGGTGGTATTCAACAAAATTTTACTCGAGTGGACCCACTGAAATTAATGAACATAAGCTAGGTCCATTGATTTCAATAGGTCTGTGTTGAGTAAAACTTAACTGAATACCACTCCAGGTTAACACATACTTGTAGGGTCACTATTTTCTGGGAAACATCTTATTTGAGGAACATTAGCGATGTTTTTTTCAAAAGTATGTTTGTGTACGCGCGCACATGCATTTCTGTCATTACTTATGCTCTCGAGTTTAAACACTAAAATAAGTCTGAACAGTAATGAAGCCCTGTAGGTCATATTTACTGATAAAGAGATGGTTTCCTTTTCCACCTAGCCATATACCAGCACACTCTAGTTTTCACCCCCTCTGCTGAATTCTGCCTAGTGTCCACAAACCTGTACTTTGACAATATATTCACTGGAATAAGTACATGAGCTCCTTGTCAACCTGCAGCTCAAAGGTCTGTAGGATCCTTCCTGCACTGATGTTAGGCAGATGGGTGGGTGATAGGAAACCTTCTGAGGAAGTGTCACCCTCCCACAAGTTATGCTGTGTTTCTCTTTTCACTGATAACATTAGCATATTGGCCCTCTGAGATGTTTATCACCTTAAACAGCATTCATTTTTAATAACTTCGCAAAGCTAATGGCAATAAGGCATCTTGCATAGTGAGTACCCTGGCAAAAAGTATAGCGCTTCCACACACAAGTGGTATAGCAAAATAACTTCTCTACTCAACCATCCAGCCACATACCTGTCTAGCATGTGTGTGAGAGTAGTTCAGATCATATGCCCTTTTCTATGCTGCCCATTAAGCATGACCCAAATCTCCAGCCACAGCTCTGTTTTCAGTTGATCAAAGTACAGAAAGCCCCATAGATCAAGATCAAATAATTTGTATGAAGTCACGAGCAAGCAGTTGACGGCAACTGCTCTTTTAATGCTTGTGAGAAGATTTGCCTAAGGCATGAGGAATGAGTGAAAAGTTCTCATCCTAAGTCCAAGCTGCCCTTTCTCGCACTGTGCTGCAACAACTGCCTGAGAATGGATGTTATCCATCCAAAAAGCAATCTAACAAAAGGGAGTGCCTGGAGTGGGGAATCTGGCTCTCCAGATGTTTGAGTTCAACTCCCATCAGCCCCAGCCAGTGTGGGCAGGGCTGATGGGAGTTGTAGTCCAACAACCTCTGGAGAGCACAGGTTCAGCTTCGCTGGTATCAAACATTGTGGTATTCAAACCTACTTCAGCTGCTTAAGATAATGCCATGGAAAACTGCTCAATGAGAAAGGCAGAGGCAGTGAACCTTTCGACCATCTCTCATACTGAAGCAACTTGCAGCGGAATCCTGTGTTTGCTCAAGAGTTAGTCACATTGCTTCCAATACAGATTACTCTCAAGATAAGTGTGCACAGGATTGCAGCTCTAACTTTTAAAAATGTTGCTACAAAAAATTATTGAATGCTTTCTCACTCAAAACCTTAAACCCTGCAATCCAAGTAACTGCCCACTGGGGCCAGGATAAACAACTATTTAAGATTGACAATACATAATTAAGATTAAAACCATGCCAAAGGGAAATTTTAGTATCAATGAGGAGCGACATTAAGCCCCTTCTTTTGAAAACTCTTGATATGTTCTCCAACCTTATAGAAATCAATTGCAGATGAAAGGGGCAGGAAGACACAACCAGGCAGGCTCCATGTATGCAGGTTTATTTCCTAACATAAAATCTACAGGCAATTCAGTGACACTAAGCAAATAGCAAAAGCCCTTAAAATACTTATATTAGCTTTGATTTTTTTTAAAGATGAGAACTAGAACAAGACCCTATCACCTACCATTACTGCTTTATGAAAAAAGAGTTTTAGTGAAGCAAAACATGGGCTGGTGATCTCATAAAAATATATATGTACATATAAAAAAATCTATTCTGCATCTGAATTTCAGAACAAGTCTTCCCAAGTAGTGCTTCTAGAACTTTCAAGTTTTAGTATATAATTTATTAATTTTCAAATGACACATTTAAATTAAATCAACTCTTCAGCTGGTACCTTCCCAGATGTCAGACTCCACTAACATAGTAACAGGCGACTTATTGAAAATAAGCTTTCCTCTGCCGACACATAAAGCAGTAGAATGTTACAGTTTTAATATATTAGAGTGGCACCCACTGAATCATATTTGATCTATTATTACTTCAAGTTAAGTTAGAACTATATATGGCTGGAAAATGAAACAAAATAGTCAACAGCATGATGAGCTAGGCTTGGGCTTCCGGTGAAGGTTTACTGTATCAGTTTGAATCAAGTGATCTGACCTATCATCAGTGGCAAGAACTCTTCGAACAGCTTCCTCAAAGGCTGCAGCAACATTAATGGCATCTTTTGCACTGGTTTCAAAGTAAGGATGGTTGCCGTTGTTCCTGCACCAGTTCTGGACTTCTTCTGTAGACACTTGCCTCTCGCTAATATCAACTTTGTTTCCCAGTATCACAAAAGGAAACGTTTCAGGCTCTTTGACATCTGCATAGTAAATGAATTCTTTCTTCCAATTGCCCAGATTCTGGAAGCTCTGAGAGTCATCTACGCTGAAAGTGAGAAGGCAGCAGTCAGAACCTCTATAGAAAGGAGTCCGCAAGCTCCTAAAACGTTCTTGACCAGCCGTGTCCCATATCTGCATTGTGACAAAGTGTCCATCCACTTCCAGGTCTTTATTTAAAAACTCGACACCTATTGTGTGGAACAGCTCTGTGTCAAACTTGTTAGTGACGTATCTGTTCATAATCGAACTCTTGCCCACTCCTCCATCACCAAGAAGGATTACTTTAAGAAGCGTTGATTTTGCTGACATTGTTGCTTCAAGAACAGATATTTTCTTATATCCAGTTCTGCAAAATAGAACAGATCTAGTTCATACAAAGAAATTCCAACTTGTTACACAAATATCTATTTGATATGGTATTTACTTGTTTATTATAACTGACCCTTCCTCACAAAAGAGCCAAGGCTAGCAATATTCATAAATCCATCCATTAAAATCAGTTCAGAAATAACAGATTAAAATGCAATATAACTGTAAGCAACAACATAGACAGATAAAGCTGTTCTACTATATGCTAAAGGCCTGCTGTAAATGGTAGTGATTAAATCAAGGGCACTTTAGTTGCTTTCTAAAGTTTAGTCACAAATGGTAAAGGTAAAGGGACCCCTGACCATTAGGTCCAGTCGTGACCAACTCTGGGGTTGCGGCACCCATCTCGCTTTATTGGCCGAGGGAGCCGGCATACAGCTTCTGGGTCATGTGGCCAGCATGACTAAGCAGCTTCTGGCGAACCAGAGCAGCGCACAGAAACGCCGTTTACCTTCCCACTGGAGTGGTACCTATTTATCTACTTGCACTCTGACGTGCTTTCGAACTGCTAGGTTGGCAGGAGTAGATTGATTTTAATTATACTAAAATCATTCTGTGAATGAGAAATTATCATGCTATACAAACTGACTGCATGCTAACAGCCAGGCTGCCAGTATAAGATCAGGCTTGCTCTCTTCTCCATCCACCCAGACATCTTACAACCACCATGACCACTGTTAAACTAACTCCATCCTGCTTTTGAACTGACCTCATCCTCATGAAGCATCTCAGAAAACAGTGGTAATATGAACAGTTCCTAACATCTGTCTAAAGAGAAATTTCTGGGATTTACCAGTATTCTGCAAAACAACCACCTCTGCCCTATTTCCTGGTACACCCTCCTCCCCTCAATCTTTCCTCTACTTGAAATTTTAGAAATGCAGAAAACATCTAATATTACATGCATATGAAACACTTACCAAATAAGCTACCCTTACTGTTCAGTCATTGTAATCCAACACCTGTAAAAAAGAGAGACATTGTATTCACTTTTAGACACAGTAATGCCATGCACTTTAAAAAAAACCCCAACAACTACTAAGGCCGTAGACCAGCAAAGGTGCCTTTAGATGTAGTGTGCCACTCTTACCAGTGGAGACGCCTGCAGACAGGAAAACACTTACCGTATTTTTCGCCCTATAGGACGCACTTTTCCCCCGCCAAAAATGAAGGGGAAATGTGTGTGCGTCCTATGGGGCGAATGCAGGCTTTCGCTGAAGCCTGGAGAGCGAGAGGCATCGGTGCGCACCGACCCCTCTCGCTCTCCAGGCTTCAGGAAGCTATCCGCAAGCCTCCCGCGCCCGGCGGGAGGTCCCGCTGGGCGCGCAAGGCTTGGGGCGGCAGCCTGCATCCCAGAGCACGGGGCGCCCTCCGGAGGACGCCCCGTGCTTCGGGAAGGTGTCCGCAAGCCTCCCGCGCCCGGTGGGAGGTCCCGCCGGGCGCGGGAGGCTTGGGGCGGCAGCCTGTTCTGGGGGCTGCGGTCGGGGGAAGCTCGGGCTTCCCCCGCGCCAGCCCCGCGCCTGGGGGGGGAAATAATTTTTTTTCCTTTATTCCCCCCCCCAAAAAACTAGGTGCGTCCTATGGGGCAAAAAATACAGTACATTTCAGGAGGATCACCTAGTACACCCACAGAAAGCTCAGCAGGTGCAGGTATAACATTGGAGGTGTATCTCTGGTAGAAAAGCTTGAAAGTGGGCAGATCACAAAAGCCCTGGATCTGCAGGGATCCAAAACGCCTTCATTCCACCAACATGCCCTATATATCCCCTCCCATTTGTGTTTTTAGGAGGAAAACTTTTTTTAAAAAGTCAAAATTAGAGAAGAACAAGAAAAGCCAAACTCCCAGAGCAAGCCAGCAGGGCTTAGGAAGTGGCAGTAGCTCGATCACAGAATATCCCCCCCCCCTTAAGATTACTTGGCAAATAATAAGTTATTGTGTAATCATGGCAATCTTAACCCCCCCCCTTTTTTTTTTTTTTTGAGGAAGTGAAACGTTCACGTGCTGCTTTTAGAATAACTAGATGGAAAAGAGGAAGCAGAAAACCAAGGTATGCTTTCACTGTATGCTGGTAAGTTGATGTTTGGGGGAAGCAGAGCAGAACAGAACAGAAAGAGGTGCATTTTCTATATTAAAAAAATGTGGGCGCATTATTTTAAGAATTGACTTATATAGGTAATGCCAACTACACAGGCAAAACTGAACAGCTTTGGGAGTCCAGTCACAGACACTGAGCTCTTGTGCTGGGCAAGGCAGATATGAAAAAGACTGGACACACAGGACAGAATCACAAACAGAAGAAGTGTCTTCATAGTATAAACCAAAAAGGTTCAAGCAAGTCTCTACAACAGGTGGGGAAACTTTGGCCCTCCAGAAGTTGCTGGACTACAGATCCCATCATTGCTACCACTGACCATGGTTTTGGGGACTGATACAACTGGAAGACTATAGGAGCCCCACCCCTCCTCTACAATTTCACTTAAAGCGCATGCCACACTGCAAATATGTAAATTTTAGCATAAGCATCAACAGATTTACATATATTAGACTGTCCCCTCCAAAGTCCGGATCATATTGTATTTTGATTTGGAATGTTATTTTAATGCCATCATTTGAGCTAACCACATTTCATATAAATTTAGCCTTTTTATGTTTTGTCAACCTCCCTGATGTTTTTACCTTTAAAGGTAGGTTGTTTTTTTAAAAAAATACATTATTATTTTTAGATATTGCACTCCACCTTTCTGAAGAAACTATTGGTTTTCATGTTATTCCAAGCATTTAATTCTTTATAGTCTGGTTCTTATGCCTTTTTAATGTAAGTGATTATATACCTGGAAATAAAAACACAAATCTATACATGTCTTCCCAAAAGAAAGCCGTACCAAATCACAGCACTGCAGCCTCAGTTTAATTAAAATTGTAGTACTTCTTGAGTAATCATTGACAAGATTAGGCTGTATGACTGTTCATGTTTCAGGTCTATAGCCTTATTGCTTCTCTTATCAAACTTTGTTCAAGTAACCAGATGATGAAGTAGTAGTAGAAAGGCACTTTGCAGGGGTGTGAAATGTAATTCAGTGTTGGGGGAATTAACTTTAACCCACTATATTATTTTACCCCAGGTGTAAAAAATAAAATAAAAATCTAACTACTTACAAATCACTTCAAGGGTGCTTTGTAATTTCAGCTTATATTCTGTAGCACCAAATTATTTTTTAAATGAGATTTACTTTAAAGGCAGTCAAAGTACTTCAGATGTTCTGTAAAGTATGTAAACAAGTATGTTTGACTACTGAAAGCTAGGGGTTAGGATTACTTTGAAATTCAGAATACCAGCTATCAGGTGTGCTGGACTCTTTTTAAAAAAGTGAGATCTGGGGTTTCGGTCCATTTATTTATGAATGTCTAATTTAATACCAAATAAAGCTAGAAACACGCATGAGTGTATAGGAATATTTAAAACAGTGATGTCTGTTGGGTTTCTAAGTTCCCACTGAAGTTAAAGAGGAACTTAAGTCATACATGTGCAGGATTATAGCTTATGTGTTTTTCTTGATAGGCAAATCTGATAGCACTAATTGAAACCGTCCAGTCATGCTTCGAGAAGAAAGCTGGATTTACAGATTCCCATGGTGCAAGCCTGGTCTCTCATAGATAAGAAAATCCTATCAGCAGCATGTAACCTTACCTCATCAGATCACAAGGTCCCATTCACCACCATCATCTCCCTCTTTTCTGGATCAAGCTATTCCAGAGGAACTTAAAAACTGAAGAGCTGCACTAGTTTTTCAAGAAGCACTACTTAGAGGGACTAGAAAGTTAAGGCCCAATATACTACCTGTACCATATCACAAACTCCATGGCCAGCTATAAACACACACTATAAACACACACTAGACGTGGAGAGCAAACGGCACACATTACAGGAATTTAAAGCTATTTAATCACTGACTCGGAAAATAGGACCATAAAAATCTAAAACCAGAAGGTTTTTGTCCTTCTGGTGAAATTAAGCAAAACTTGATGCAGCCCTTTACACATCAGAACCTGTTCCTCAAAGCTTCCCCAAAGGCTTAAGCATTTTTTCAAATCTATTTTATCTATAATAGCTTTTGTGCCTACTTCTAGATACCTTTTCCCTCCTCATGACTGAATTACACAAGTCAGAGCTTCCAATAAAAATACTGGTGAAATTACAATGGCTGGCACAGACCTGCTCACACTGTGGTGTTGCAGCTCCAGCCCAGTGGAATCAGTAACCATCTGAAATTTGAAAGTGGCCTAACATCTTGATATTTAGGGGGGAAACTGAAGATGTTTTAGTTTAAGCTTTCCCACAAATGACTCAGTCATTTTATGGAATATTAATTCTACAATTGTAGAATTAGGTTTAGTCTTTTTGGAGTCTCTCACTTGTATTTTAACTCACTTTATCTTATTGTACACCACTTCAATAGCTTCTGGTTGTGCGGCAATTTCTAAATATGTAAGATACAATTTAAAAATATGTACAGCTGGGAAAAGATGATATGGCAACCCTGCTGAAACGAGGCAGGTCTGGGTCTGGTCAGTGCCTAGAAACTCCATGGGAAGACACCATAAGTTCCATGATGAAATGAAGGTGGGCTAAAAATGTACTAAACAAATACAAATTCTATCCACAAATGAATACTGCAGACACACATAAACATTCTTTAAGCAGCAGGAACTAAGTGTCACGTGTTCAAGAAAACAAGCACCTCCCCACTCCTGGTTGTATGACACAACTTTAGCAATAGGTTTGTCGGACTCCTGACACCCCACCTCCCCCTGCATTAGTGATTTGTGCAATTTAAAAGTTGGATCTTCCCCCACCCCCACAGCTTGATCTTTTCAGAGATTTTTTTAGAAGTTTTAGATTTAAGTTGCAGACAGGCAAGGTTAGCTTAAGTATAAAGTACTTTTTAACTGTAGGTTACAGTGAGGCAATGTACTAAGCAGCCTAGGAAAACAGTAGAATATCCTTCACTGGCAGTTTTGGCATAATGAAGTTTATCTACAAAGCTTCTTCACCCTAGGACAACTATGACTCTGACACAAGGAAACCAGAGCTGTTCAGTTACAGGCTCAGAAAACAGGGCTAGAGAAACTTAAGTCAGACCATTGTGTCTTGAAGAATTTTGAAGTTAAGCAGCACTCAGGGTAGTCCTTTACATACCACAAAGTTTCACCTTCATTCAAGTGGCTTTCCAACACAATCAAGAATTACTTTTACGCAATGTTCTGGAAAAAACTGTTTCGAAACTCTTATCCTTGCTAAGGACAAAGATCCTACATTTCCCTGTTCTTCCATATGACAGAAACAACCAAAAAAATCTTAACAGTTTTAAACCAACCCACAGCAGTTATTTGCCACACAGCTAGATAGACCCAGTACTTCATCTCAATTGGCACTGGATGAGCATAAAGCAAAAGCTCTTTGTTTTCATGCACAGGTAGGAAGAGTTTGTTCACAAAAAACCAGAAGAGCAGCCAAGTAAATGGTATCGTACATCATCCTCAAATGGGAAGGTACGGGGATTTTCCACATGAAAAGCGCCAGAAAAATGAAGGCGGACAAAGGGGACATACATAAAAAGCGGAGCTGTCTTTTGAGCAGTCCAGTGACTTTAATCAGTTCTGAGAAACTGCCCTAGGGAGAAACTGGTCATGTGCCAGCCGATAAGTATAGAAGAGCAGCTATTTCTCAAGCGAACCGCCGCCGCCTGCCTCTCCATCACGGGACCTTTAATCACGCCACCTTTTGCAAGTCAGGCAGGAAAACAGGCGGGCAGCATCAGCCGCCTGAGACCCCAGCCCCCCCCCTCCTCCTCCGAGGAAGTTTCACGAAGCACCTCTATAGGGAAAAGCCCCTCTCGCCGTTGCGCAGGAAACGAGCCCATGGCGAAAGGTGCGGACCCTGACACCACCCCACAAAACCACAACGCCCCCCTCTCTAGTACCGCAGTCCTACCACGGGCTTAAAATCAATGAAGCATATATACCCATTGCACGGCTGGGTAGCCTGAGGAAGCGATTTAAACTCGGCTTACTTACCCTGCAAAACAACCACTCTTTTTTTGGGGGGAGGAGGGGGAGTCGCTGGCTCCCTTTTTTGCGACAAGGGGAACCCCAGCCACCCAAAAGCCAGTAAGCAGAACCAGGGCAGCCCTGCAGCATCCCTCCCCAGCAAGAAAGACACGAACCGGCTGCTAGCCCAGTCCCGTAAAGCCCCCCGTGTCCCCCCGAAAGCCAGCGGAGACCGCCTTCCTCTTCCTCCTCCTTTCCACCCGCCGCCCCGAGGAAAGGGGCCCCGGCGCTCGCTCGCGCCCACCTACCTACCACGAAGGCGGCGAGGGGCGAGGACGAGGCTCTCCGAGTCACCCGCAGCCGCCGTTCGCAAAGGTGCCAGGGGTGGTGGGGGAGGGGCCGCTTCGGAGGAGAAAAAAACAACATGGCGGAGGCTGCGCCACGGGGGCGGGGCCTGGCGTTCACGTGACGCCAGGGGAAGGGCAGCCGCAACTCCGTCCGGAGCGGGCGGGCTGGCTGTTGCTAGGGAGGGGCTGTTGCTAGGGAGAGAGGGGCCTCCCCCCTTGCTTCTCACGCCCCACCCCGGGGTAGAGTCACCATTTCACGGGAAATGCCACTTAGCAGCAGCAACGTATTTGTCCGTAGTATTGTCTGTGGCACTTGAAATGGGCTGCCCCTTTTTCCATAAGCTGCGGGGCTGAAAAAAGGCCTCTCCTCTGTCTGTCCTCATCCACCTTCAGTGTTATGCAGTTGTTGACTTCCTCTTGGTTTAAATGTCAACAACTGCGGTCTTACCTGGTTCATCTCCCATCAGATCACTCATTCAAAGTTTTCCCCCAAAGGCAGTTCTCAACTTTTCCCCTTTCTGGCTGCTTGCAGATGAGTGTTTATTGTGAGATTGGTGTTTCCTCATGCAATATTTTTTCCCCAACTTGGCATAATTGGTATCAAAATGCCTGTCTCTATTCCAGATTTTGCTTTCTGGGGATTTTTTTTATATATAAAAAAGCAACAACAACCTGTTGCCAATTACCTGTTTGCAGTACCTGAATAATCTATTTACAATATTAAGCAATACTGGGGTTCCTCAAGTCTGTTTTCAAATATTCAACAAATATTTGCCCTTCACATTTACATTCAGAGCTTTGGAAGGATGCCTACTAATTGACGATGAAACCCTTTGTTTACCTAGTCATATTGTCCAATTGGATTCCCATCAACTGAGTTCAAATAAATTAATTCTAGTTAGCACAACTGAATTTAAACATTAATTGGGAATGGGATGCAGCCTAAATGAACTCACATGGACTTAACATTTTCCTTCCTCAAATAATGACTACAAGAAGCTAATGACCGTTTATATGCAGTAGTAAGTAAAAACACACTTTCGATTTCAGGTTCATATCTGCAAAATAGTGATAATGATGTCTCGATGGCTGAAAGGGTTTTGTGGCACCGTGGAGACTACCGATTTATTATAGCAGAAGTTTTCATGGACTACAGACCACTTCATCAAATATATAAAGTGTCATCCTGTGTTGCAGGTATACACAGAGAAAGAAAGGAAAAGGGATTGTAAGCAGTCAAGTCAGAGGAAAATGAAATGCAGAAAAGTACATATGGTGAGAATTATGTGACTAACATCAGGTCAGGTTTTAAGCAGAGGTTGAATGGCCATGGCTTCTTTAGTCAAGATTCCTGCATTGCAGGGGGTTGGACTAGACCAGGGGTCGGCAACCTAAGGTCCATGGGCCACAAGCGCCCCATGGGGTTGTTTAACTGGCCCAACCCCCACCGCCTGCTCAGGGACCCTTGCCACCTGCTCGGTCGGCTCCTGTGTGCCGCACTAAACCGGCACGGAGCAGAGCGGGGACTGCCTTCTGCGATGCTGGCTGGCTTCCCATTGGCTGCAGGAAGCTCCTGCAGCCAATGGGAAGCTGTGCACGCCTCCTCTGCACTGGAAATAGCATTTGCGTGTGCATGTGTGCACACACTCCGGCCCACCGCTGCGTCTGCGGGACCGTGAACCAGCCCAAGCCACACAAACTTTGCCAACCCCTGGACTAGACAGCCCGCAAGTTCTTTGATTCTAACACTGGCCATTCACACAAAAAGGTTACTGTTAACACAGATGCCCTGGCACTAGAAAACAAATTAACATATGCAGTGTGATAATCTAACGTCTTTATTCAGTCCACAAGTCACAGCACTGAACCTCTTGATGAATTGTAATTCAGCTGTTTCATGTAATTACAATTCATCAGGAGGTTGAATGCCAGTCAGCACAAGCGTAAGTGAGCTGTGAAGAAGAATCAGGGACAGGACACTCAGTTCCTTTTTCTGAAGAACATAAGATGCCCTTTGCAGCATCATTTGTTAGACATTTGGGACATTCACTTATGCTCCATGACATAGCATGCTAGAGAATATTAAGCAGTGCATATTTATTTTGCTAAGATTAAGCACTGGAATAATGATGTGAAAAACCATAGTTCAGGACGAAAGCATATGCTTCTTGGGTGCATGGTTCAGATGGTAAGAGCAACCGTGGCAAAGAAAAAACATTTAGACACATCATTGGTTAAAACATAAAGCATCTCTTCTGTTGCTTATTATATAACAGGAATGCAGAGCCAGCCCACCCATGAGGCAAGGTGAGATGGCAGGATCTATAGGGGCGGCATATTCCAATATAGCTCTTCATTTTCCCCTTGTTCCTGTTTATTATTTATTGGATTTCTATATCGCCCTTCATCTAAGGAATCTCAGGGCAGTTTACAATACCAAAACACAAAAATGCATAACACAGTAACAAACAAAAACATTAAAACCCACACATTGTTTAGAAGGCCATTGGTTGTTTAATTAGTCAAAGGCCTGTTGTAGATCTTCACTTACCCCTTCTTCCCTGGTGGGAAGAGGGACACAGCATTTTGTGGGTTCACCTCAGGTGCTAAAATGTCTAGGCAGGGGTGTCCATTGGTAATATGCTGCCCTGTGCGAGGCCATTCGATGCCCTCCTCCCCAGCCCTTGCAAACACACCACTTCCAGTGCCCTAAATCCACCGCGCTGGTCCTGCAAGAAAGATTACAGCTTAACACTGTCTCCTTCCACTTTTCATTATAAGCACTCTGTTTAAGGGATGCAGGTGGCACTGTGGTCTAAACCACTGAGCCTCTTGGGCTTGCCGATCAGAAGGTCAGTGGTTCAAATCCCCACCACGGGGTGAGCTCCTGTTGCTTGGTCCCAGCTCCTGCCAACCTAGCAGTTTGAAAGCACGCCAAAAAGTGCAAGTAGATAAATAGGTACTGCTCTGGCGAGAACGTAAACGGCGTTTCCGTGCACTGCTCTGGTTTCGCCAGAAGTGACTTAGTCATGCTGGCCACGTGACTCGGAAAAACTGCGGACAAACGCTAGCTCCCTCGGCCTGTAAAGCGAGATGAGCGCCACAACCCCAGAGTCATCTGTGACTGGACTTAACTGTTAGGGGTCCTTTAAAGGTAAAGGTAAAGGTACCCCTGCCCGTACGGGCCAGTCTTGCCAGACTCTAGGGTTGTGCGCTCATCTCACTCTATAGGCCGGGAGCCAGCGCTGTCCGCAGACACTTCCGGGTCACGTGTCCAGCGTGACAAGCTGTATCTGGCAAGCCAGCGCAGCACACGGAACGCCGTTTACCTTCCCGCTAGTAAGCGGTCCCTATTTATCTACTTGTACCCGGGGGTGCTTTCGAACTGCTAGGTTGGCAGGCGCTGGGACCGAACGACGGGAGCGCACCCCGCCGCGGGGATTCGAACTGCCGACCATGCGATCGGCAAGTCCTAGACGCTGAGGTTTTACCCACAGCGCCACCTGCGTCCCAGGGGTCCTTTACCTTTTTTAATAAATTCACTCCTGTCTAATGCTGCAACCAACTTTGAATGTGGAGCAAGAGCTGTAGCTATGAAATTGAGTCATCATGCTGAATCATAGCACCAACCATGCCATGCTAACCTCTTAAAATCATGGTCTCTTATTCTGGTTTGTTGGCCTGTCTAAGCCACACAAGGACGTGATCTGACCTTACAATAGGTTCAAAGTAACCCCCTTCAATCTTCAAATTACAAAAAACTTGATCAGTTGAAAAACATGATCTCCAAAGTACATCCTGCTGAGTGTGTATAACAAGCTAAAATACAACCATGAGTGTCACAGTGGTCATGAAGTAAGTCCTAAGACAGCCTCAGTGAGAATGTTGAGATCCTCCAGAACAATAATTCTGGCAGTTTCCAACACCGTACTCAAAACTACTTCTGCCAATTCTAGAAGGGAAACTGAAGGACAGTGGTATGGTTGATATATCAGCAAAATCTGGAATCTGTCTCTCAGATCCATCACAAAAGTACAAATGCTCCAGATAAGAGCTTGACAATATGTAAAATAAGTGCTGTGCTGAATTTCCACACTCAGAAGTTTCAGGGCTCCTTTTGCTTTTCTCTTACTTTTGATCTTTCCATACCATTTTAAAGGCTTCCTTCTTTATTGCGATCCCAACCAATCCTGTAGTGAACAAGAAAGCACAACATACCTTAACTTTAAAACTCTGGCTACATGACAAAGCCACTCCTTTGTCCTCAGTTTGAACTGATATGAAGGGGAAGTTATATCTCCATTGTCAAGGCAACCACACCACTTTGGCAAAATACAGGATCCTTGTCTTGCCACATTGCAAGGACGCCATCCCTGCTCCCAAATGCTTCTTATTCTATTTTGCGTCTTTGAGCTACCACTCCATGGGAAAAAAGCTAAGGGGTTAGGACTTCAATTAGTGTTTCTAAAGTTCATAAAACTCCTTCCTGTATTTTGGTCCAGTATTACATAAAATGAGTACAGATTTGCTAGATTTTAAAAATCAGTCTTGATAAAAGTTTTAACAAATATATGCTTGAAAATGATTATAGTGACATCAGTCTTAATTAAGAAGTGGGGAGTACTGAGTCATATTCTGATTTATTAATAATATTTAATATTACAATTTATTTACCTGCCCTTCACCCTAAGGTTCCAGGGCAGGTTACAACAATTTACTTTTTACAACAATTAAAACACAACATTAATATTAAAACACAATATTACTTAATATTAAAAATAGTTTAAAGCAACTTAAAATTTGATCTCTCAAATAGCTTTATAACCATTTTGCTTCATAACGCTCATCCACTTTTTATTGCATTACCAAACATTACAGCACTTTAAATATTCCTTATTCAGATAGCTGTACTTTGGTAATTTCATATTTAATACTTATCTCCTCTGAAGACGTAGGGATTAAAGGATGCATAATCACAAACAAATCCATCTGCTGTGGTACCACTGCTCTCCACATTCATTACAAATTACATAAGTCATCATTTGTTCATCTGGATTTGCATTTCGTACCCAACCAGGAAGGAAAAGAGCTCCCCTGGCAATTGCAGTAACAGT